GCCTGATTAGTTACAGGCAAAGGAGATTACACTGCTTATGCTAGTGGAGGAAAGATTCTAGTACACATAGACTAAGATTCTGGGTAAGAATGTGTTTTGGGGGGCCTCCCTGGCCGTGCAAGGGGTTAAGACGCAACCTATGAAGCTGTCCGCAGCCATTGCAGCACGAGTTCGAGCCCCGGCCAGGGAGCTACCCACATGGCGCAGCAGACCTGTCCTATCTCCCCGCTGCTCCCCTCAGCAGTGTATTTCGTCAGTCTGCCTGTTCTGTTCCCCGCTCTGTCTCTGGTGAATCCTCTCACTCCCCATACCTTGGCCTGTGCCCCAGTTCTGTATACATAAATAAATCTTAAAAAAAAAAAAAAAAGATTGTGTTTTTGTTTAAAAGCTTCACTACTGAAAATATTTTTAAAATATCCTTTTCAAAAAATTCCCACACTATCAACCCTTTATTTTATCGTGAGAAGTCAGAGCCCAGAGAGGGCCTGGAGGTTACTGAGGCCACAGAGCACAGAGTGACAGGGTCCAGATTCAACCCAGGCCCCAGGGTTCCTTGCCAGTTCCAGTTAGAGCTTCTTCCACATGCCTCTGCCGGCTGGGTTTGGAGCTGCTGTGCCCCGGGAGGGGTGGGGAGCAGGCCAAGGGTTCCAGGTTTAGTGCAACCCTGCACTGAGACTTCTAGAAGCCTTAGCTCCCTCATAGTCCTAGGCCCTTCCCTCCTGTCCTCACTGCATGGAGCACACCTAACTCAGTCCACAGAGCAAAGCTTCATGCTGCCTAGAGCGAGCAATAAATGGAGAGTCAGGGGTCCAGGGGTCCAGCCCAGACAGGCCACCCCTACCGGAGCAGCACTAGGTGGTGGCTCCTGTCACCTCCCCGGCATCCGACTGTAAAAAACAAAGAGCAGAAACTTAATTAAGCTTAATTCTCTCTGCCTCATTTTCCTGATCTGTAAAATACAGGTAATAGGTCTACTCCCATAAACTGGTGGGGAGAAAATGAAGTAAGATCATAGTGTCTGATACACAGCAAGCGTGTAATCAAAATGAGCTGCATTTGGTGTTGCTCCTCTGTTGACCCCGAATGACACCCCCGTCCCCCAATTTGTCTGCCCCAAAGTCCGCCTGCTGCCAGGGTGGGAGAGTGCCAGCGGGGCGGGAAGGGGTCATGGCCTGGGGCTCTCCTCCCTACTCACCCACCCGCCCCAGCACCTCCTCGAGGGCTCAGCGCTGGGCCCTGCGCCCCAATCTTCAAAGGATGCACCCCTCCTGTTTGATGTCCAGGGGTAACGAGCGTGGATGCAGGTGAGTCACCCACGGAGCCATCCACTGCCAGAGCCCCAGCGTCAACAACCCGGCAGGCGGCTTCTTCCATTGCACAAACATTCACTGGGCGCCCAGCACCTCCCGGGGTGCCGGAGCTGGGGTGGGACCGCGAAGCCCCCTGGGGGTGGGGGGTGCAGGGGAGGCGAGTGGGGAGCTCAGCGCTGGGGACACGTGTGTGCTCAGGGCCTGTCCGCTGGTCTGCAGCAGACCAGCCTCACGTGACTCTGGGTGTGAGGGAGTGACGGCCGGGTCACCCCGCAGGAGACCTTCACCTGCACTTTGGGTCCGAAGCCCTCGGCCGTCAGGAACCAGGACCCGCCCCCGGGCTGGGCGAACTCCTCGCGAGTTACGCGGTTTCTGTGTCTTTAAAAGGGGGCGTGGCCCTGTCAAAGAGGCCCGACCGCATAGGCGAAAGGCGCGTGAAGTCCCGCCCACTTTCTGTGACGTCCCGGGCGCCGGCTGCTGATTGCCCGCTGCGGACGTCAATCGCGGGGCGCGCGTCTCGCCGGGACCGGAGGCTGCCCCGGAGCGAGCGGTCGGGTCTGGTCTCCGCCTCGCCCGCGCCCGCCCGCAGCCCGCCGGCCCGTCCCGCGCCCGCGCCGATCGCCCTCGCCGGGCGCAGCTGCCCGCCAGCGCCGGTCACGATGGTCAGTGGTCCCGGGGCGCGGGGCGGGGCGGGGGCGTGGCGGGCGGGCCCCCGCGGCACCCCCAGCCCGTGCGCCCCCCGGCTGAGCTGGGCGGGGGCGGGAGACCCTGGTCCCTCCCGAGGGGCCCGGCCGCCTGCGGTGCACCCCGCGGGCCCCGAGGGCGCCGCCCCGCAGAGCCAGGCCCCGGGGCTGCGGGTCCCCCCGCTTTGCCGAGCCGCCCCCCGCCCCTCCAGCGGGCAGCCGCGACCCCAGCCTCCGCGGGGTCAGCCGGCGGGGACCCCCAAGCCCACCGCGGACTAGAGGTGCCCGTTGGGGGTGGCGACGCGCAGGGGTGCCCGCGCAGGGCGTCGGGTGAGCACCCCCCGGAGAGCCGCGCAAGTTGGGGGGCCCCTGGAGCAAAGCCGGGAGCAGCTCGGGCCCGGCCTTGCCCGAGGAGACGGGCCCAGAGACGCTCCCTCCCAGGCGGGCCAAGCCTGGGCTGGGGCTGGTGGGGAAACTGAGGCAGACGTGGGAGGGGCTGAAACTGTGATGGTCCCGGGACGTGGCTCCCAGCGCCCCCGGCCGGGGCTGTGCGGGGCATCAACCTCCGGGGCGGGGGAGGGTGTCACAATCTGGGGGGCGGGGGAGGCTGAAACCCTGCGCCCGTGAACATCTTCTCTGGTGGGCCGTAAAGGGGACATAAGGACTCGCACCCGCCCTGAGTTCGAATCTTGCCTCCACCCCTGGAGAGCCCAGAGGGTTTGGTCCGTTCCCCTCCCCTGACCTCTTCTGCACATCTCTAGGGGGTGGTGCGGGGTGGGGTGGGGACCTTGGAGCATCTGCTCCTCGCCAGGAGGTGGGGGTGTGCAGGGGCTGCTGCTTCCCCCTCAGCCTCCTGCCGCCCATGTCTGGCAGGGATAAATGGGTCACCGTGGCAGGACGCTGCCGGCCTGGGGCAGAGGTCAAATCCTGGTCATGGCCTGGCACAGACCGAGGGTGGCGTGGGCAACCAGTCAGCTGAGCCAGGCTGTCCTGGAAGAACCAGCCTGCTGCTGGGGTGTGGCTGAGGTTCTGGGGGCATCGGAAGCCTCAGCTTCCTGGGCCCAAGGGTTCCCCTGGCTCTGCTGTTTCTGGAAGAAGGCCCAGGTATTTCTGCATCACCCACTAGGGAGTGGCAGGAGCTGGGGTAATAATGGACTTAATTACCCTGGAGCTGGAGGCTGGCATGCCTTCTGGCTGAGGGGATGCAGAAGGGGTGGCGGGGTGGGGGGGATGTGGTGTACCTCAGCCTCTGTCTTTGGCTGCACAGTGAGGGGGTGAGGGGTGAGGATTCTGACTCCACCCTCCCGTCTGACCTGAACTCAAGACCTGAAGTTAGAGGGCAGAGGGGCTGAAAATCCCAGGCCCGCACTCCTCAGGGGAGTCTGGGTGCCTTGGAGTGGGGAGAAGTGGTCGGCCTGTGACTAGGACAGCGGCCGCCAGGGGTTGTGGGGAAGAGGAGGAGAGTCTGTGCAGGGTCTGCTCTCTCTTCGCCCAGCGCTCACCGAGCACCCTCTGTTGTCAGGACCGCGCTGGGCCCCGGATCCTGGTGCTTTTTATGCTTTTTATGCGCCTACACGGTGCAGGTGGTGACGTGAGGTGGTGACAGAGGAGACTGGCCTTGGAAAATACCTCTCTTGTCTCCGAGTCACTGGGCTGGGCTTGAGGAAGGCTCCAGGGTAGACGTCGTAACCCCTTGGGGGGGCGGCCAGGATGAGGCGGCCTGGGGCAGCCGGGGAGGGGGCTCCTGCGTTTGACAGCAGCTGACCAAGTGAGCACCAGAGTGAGCAGTAAAACCGTAGGATCCTTCTGTGCTTTGTTCTGTTGCTTGTCAGACACCCCAGTGGCCCCTGCTTGGGCCGGATGAGATGGGCACAGCCGCCCTTGCGAGGGAGCTCATGCGTGCGTCAGTCTAGACGGAGCTCACACAAGCCATTCCTGAGCTATGGGTCATGGCCTCAGAGGCCTGACCTACGGCTTGGGGTGCAGCTAGGGAGCAGGAGTGTCAGGGGAGGCTTTGCGGAGGTCCTGTGAGCGGGGCGCTGAGGTGGCCAGGAGTGTTCAGGAGAGATTTGGGGAATAGTCCACCCCAGGCAGGGGAGGACAGTGTGCTGAAAGGCCTGGAAATGTGCATAAGGCTGCGGATTCTGGCAAAGATGAGCAGTCTGGGGTGGGGTTGGGGGGTGCAGTGGGGTGCAGGCAGTTAGAGGGAGGGAGAAGAGCTAAGTGTAGAAAGGTCGGTGGGGTCAGAGGGTGCTGTGAAGGGCTGCACCTGCTGGGCTGTGGGGCTTGGGTCTGTTCTGCGGAGAGGAGAAAAAGAACATATTTTTGACGATTTGTGCTTGACCTGCGCGGCCTCTTTGGCAGTGGAGCGGGCACAGGGTTGGAAGTGGCAGGCTCGCCGTTAGCCCGCTCACCCACTCCGTCTGCGCGGCTGCGCATTACTGAATGCCAGGCGCTGGATCTGGTAGTGACAGATGTGGAGCTGGCACTCGTGGAGGGAGACGGTGGGCAAGGAAGCCAGAGAACCTGCATCGATGATGCTCAGAAGAAATAAAACAAGTAAAGACCCTGGGGGGAGGGGAGGGGCAGCTGCAGACTAGTAATCAGGGAAGGCTTCTCTGAGGAGGTGATGTCACCTGAGTCAGGTAAACAGGCAGGGGAACATTCCAGGCAGCGTGAACAGCATGTGCAAAGGCCCTGAGGTGGACATGGGTATGTCTGGGGGAACACAAAGAGGGCTATTGTGACTCGAGTTTAGCAAGTGAGGTAGGCCAGGGCTGGGACGGGAGGGTGTCATCAAAGAGTCACCTGAGGGGAGCCCCTGGAGGGAATGAGGAAGCCACGTCTGGTCTGGTTTACTTGTTAAGCCGCTTGCACTGGCTGCTCGGAGGTGGTTCCTGATGGGGGCAGGCCTGGAAGCCAGGAGCTCAGTTGGACTGTTGTAGTCTGGGAGGGGATGGCGGCGCCTCACACAGGGCCCAGGAGCAGAGCCCACAGTGAGGAGAGCGGGGGGAGAGGAGCCCTGGGTCTTTGGGGTCACTCTGGCTGGGTGGAGAGCTGGGAGGCAGGGTGGAGCGAGAGAGCAGTTAGAGGCGCAGTGACGTGGAGGTGCTGGTCAGACATCGGGGCAGGGACACATCCGACCCCAGGGTGAAGGTCACCAGGTTTCACGTTCTCGGCTGTGTGGGGCTGAGCTCCAGGGCAGGCCAGGTCGCGGGTGGAGATCTGAGGGTCGCTGCGGAGGGCATCTAATGAGGGGGCCAGCACCTGAGGCACCCGTCTCTGCAAGGCGAGCCGGTGACTGGGACCCAAAGGGGGGACAGCAGGAAGCAGCACGTGCCAGGCTGAGCGTAGCCTGGAAGAAGTCCATGCCCTGATGCCCGGAACCCGTCTGTGGGGTGCCTCACGTGGCCCCAGGGCTGAGCAGGTGTGACGAAGTTACGCGTGATGACCGGCGTTACCCAGGTGGGCCCTGTGGAGGCCCTCGCGTGGCGGGGCGGAAGCAGGAGGGGCGGCCGAGGAGCGAGACGGGAAGGGAGGGCTGGCTGGCGGGGATTGTAGACGCCTCTGCAGACCCATCCAGGTGAGGCGGCGGGTTTTCCTCTAGAACCTCCCGAAATGCAGGCGAATCAGCCTGTTGTTCTACGGGCTGTGCTGGCCTGTTGTGGCAGCCGCAGGAAGCGAATTCAGGCCTCTCGGTCTCCCCTCACGCTTTGGTCTCCATTTTGCTCACTCGCCTCAGCAATAACCAAGTTTTTATTGGCCCCCGTACCTGTGTATTACACATGCTGCCCTGAAGTAGACTCCGAGAAGGCAATTCCTTTCCATCCCTCTGGGACGGGCTGGGGAGGCCTCAGCCCCAGGCAGGTGAGGCCAGGCAGGGCTGGAGCCCCGCAGGTGTCGGGGACCTTCTGGGAGGGGAGGTGGGCCGGGATCTGAAGGACTTGGCAGCTTGAGCTCAGGCCTGGTGGCGGCTGGGCCTGCGGGTGAGGCTGACTTGGAGCCAGGGTCTGCCCTGTACCAAAGCAGCCTTGAGGGAGGTCCAGCTGGCCAAGGGCCAGCACAGCCACCGGGGCCCAGGTGGGCATGTCGTGTCCCCTGGCTCCACTTGGGGCATCCTTACGGGAGGCTTTCCAGCACCAGAGCCGACGGGGCTGCGTCCACGGCGTGGGCTGTGTGGAGGGCAGGTGACCTGACTTGCCACTGTCAGACTGGTGGAGGGATTCTTGGCTTCTCTGCACTTGGGGGTGGGTGTGCGGGAGGACGGGACCCGGCAGGCTCACAGCCTTAGTGGTCGCTGCCGGCTCTTTGATCTCAGCCCTGGCTCCGAGACTGCGGGCGGAATGGAGCCCACGGAGCCCGGAGTCCCGACGAGGGCGCAGCTTGGTCTGCATGTTGTAGTCCAGTGGGCGAGTTCCCGGGAAGAAATGTCCTTTGCTCACTTTGCAATGTCTTCCTTGACTCGACTGCTGACAGCTGTTTGCAGCAGGAGCGCCGTCCCCCTGGCTCGCCGCGCGGGCGTCCGTCTGCAGGCCGGCAGTTAGGGGCTGCGCTCCTCGCGGGCAGCTTGGCTAGGCTTGCCAGGACTTTGTCAGATGTGGGTCTGTTCTTTCTCCATCACATCCTGGAGGTTGGCAGCCAAGATTTAAACAACAAACCACCAATTAGAGGCAGCGGGTGCGAACCCAGAGCCTTACGCCCGAGTGTGGCCAGGAAATTGAGGCTGGGCCTGAGTTTTCCTTGGCGCTTGAGACTCGTGTTTCCCGGGGTGTGACCAGGGCTGTGCTGGTGGGGCAGGGTCACTCTGGAGGCGTGCCAGGCAGGCCCTCAGGGCACCGGGACCCAAACCCACTGGGATGCCCAGTAAACACACGAGGGACCACGAGGGGGCGCTGGCGCGAACCCAAGGCCCCGTCACCTGGGGATGCGCGCAGCCGACCTGGGGGCTGTTGCCAGGAGCCGTGATCTTACCCTGCGGTCAGCACAGGGTGAAGGCGCCACGGTACCTACAGAGTAACGTGCACACGTGCTTCAAACACAGGCGTGCTTCAGACGACTGTATTTAAAAAGACCGATACGTCCCACGGGCACGTAGTGTCCAGGACAGGCCAGTTCATGGGGGCAGAGAGAATGGTGGTTGTGGGGGGCCGTAGCAGGAGGGAGAAGGGGGGCTAGCTTTTAACGGGTGGAGTTTCATTTGGGACAAAGAAAAGGTTCTGGGGATGGATGTGTGGATGGGTTCGCTTCACGCCTCTCGGCTCACGCAGTGGTAAAGGCAGTAAATTTTGTCATGAATATTTTAGTTCCAATGGAAAAAAACAGGGCAAGACACCCCACAGGGAGCGCCTGCAGGAGGTGGGGGCTGGGGGGGCGGGAGGGGTCGGGCACAAGGGGAAGGTGCCTGCACCTTGCAGAGACACTGGGTCCTGCCAGCCGCTCTCAGCACCCAGGCCCCGAATGTGAGTGAGTCTTTTGCCTGTAAATTGACTGTTTAGATAAACAGCCGGGTAGGAATTCTGGAGGAACCCGGGGCTAGGCCCTGGCAGCCCTGGCTCCTGGCGCCTCCCGTTCCTGATCCACCCCGGACAGCCCCGTGACTGTTGACTTTCTCTGCGTCCAAGCACTTATGGCTGCGGATTTCAGACCCATTCCCTCATCTCCTTCCACTGCTGACATCTTCCCAGAAGCTGCTCATGAAACCCAGGAGACGGCGGGCCTTTCTCTTGCCCGCTCCACCCGCCCTGTTCTTGTTTTGTGCTACTTTTTGATCCATTGTTTTTCAAGCTGGGGCTCTATAAAGCAGGCTGGGGTGGGGGTGTGGGGGCAGCAGGGCAAGCACCTGCTGCTTCTGGGTTACCTGCTTGTCCCGCCTGCCCCCTGGGCAGCAAGGAGGGTTTAAATTCCGAAACTTACAGGGTCCCATGGGTGTTGACTGTCAGTCACCGCGTAAGTGCAGAACTAACTCGACACAGCGGTTGTTATTAATCACGCCAACAACCTGAACCTCCCATGACCCGGATCAGCGCACGTTAGCTGTGTGTGACGACGCCAGAGGCCAGTGACGTTCATCAATCAGCTTGTTTTAAGCTAAATTATATTGCAAATGAAAGTGGAGCCCTTTGAGGCTCCCACAGAGGCGTGCTCAGTCTTCAAAAGAGAGACTAGCAACATGGAAGACTTCGGGGCCCCCTTCTCCTTGGGGCCTCCACACATTTGAAGCTGTTGAAGAGAGGCCAGCTCCCAGCTCCCCTCTGGATGCTGCCAGTCTCTCCTTGCTGTAGTGTCTTGTGTTCCCGGGGAGAGCAGCTCGGGCTGTGGGGTGCCCTGAGGGTTCTGACTCAGAGCTGGGGGTCGTGCTGGGACGTCTGCCCCCTGGGGGGACACTGCAGGGGTGGGAGGTTGGAACCCAGCCTGCTGGGGAGAAGCTCCGAGCTGCCCCTCACAGAATGTTCCATTGTGGTCTAGAGGCTGGGGCCCCTCAAGAGCTCCTGGACTCGGCGCTCTGTCCGCCCCGCAGTAACTTGGTAGAATTTCCAGGGACCTCAGAGTCAAATGTGCCTCAGGGCACTTCCTGGCACACGGGCCTGGTGTCGTCGGTAGCACAGGTGTGATCATTGGCAGCAGGTGCTGAACCAGGGAGTGGGGCCGTGCCAGCCTGACCAGGAGCTGCACGTTACAGCAGCTGTTTTTGTTTCACTCGTCTTGGGCTCAGGCTGCTGCATTGGAGGCAGGATGAAGGTTTTACCCCAAGCCAGCACCTCCCCAGGGCCCCCAGCAGGCTCTTCATAGGTCGGGTTGGCCCTGCCTGCCGGGGGGAGGAAGAGCACTGAGGAGGGGAGGGCACCCCTGGCCAGGTGCCTCTCATCGGGGTGCAGGAGTAGGAGAGGGGTCTCTTCCAGCGCGGGAGAGACGGGAAGTGGCTGGTGGGGAAGCAGCTCACAGCATCGCCGCAGAGCGGGGGTCTGGTTTTGCCTGGCGGTTCCTGCTGCTCCGCCAGCTGCCGCTGGAATAGAGCAGAAGCGAGGAAGGGGCTTGCCTGTGAAAAAGGGTGAGTGCAGAATGGAAGTCACCAGAAGCAGAACCCAGGACGCCCTCCCCCGCCCCCGAGTGTGTGTGGCGGGCATGCTCTGTGCCCTCTTTCTCCTGCTCTTCTTCTTTTTATCCTTCTCAGTTCTCTCAGGCCTTCCTCGTGGAAGGTGCCCTGTTCCTCACACGCAGGGAGGACGTGCTTGGGGCTACTGGAGATGGAGAAAAGGAATAAGGTGTGACAGGAGGGGACAGCCCAGGCCTGACTCTGGTGGGGTGGGGAAAGCAGGGAGGCTTCTTGGAGGACATGGATTTAGTCACTCATTTATTCGTTCAACAAACATCTCAGCCCCAGCCCTGCTCTGCCCTGTGAAGGGCCCTGGGGAACTGGACAGGAGAACAGAATGTTTCCGTTGGGCTGACAAGCCGTCCAGGGCCAAGGAGGGTCCATGTGGCTTTGGAGACTTTGGCGAGTGGGGCATCCAGGTCCCCCAGAAGTGACCCTTTGCGGTCACGGTGCCGCTCATCTGCCCAGGATGCCGGAGAGGGGCGCCGGGTCAGAGCGCTCCTCAGCAGACGGAAGTTAGAGTCTGAGTGGTGTGGAGACGGGGACCCTCGATGTCACCCACACCTCACCGTAGGGCCTCACGGCCTGGCTCTGCCTCCAGGGCTGCGCTTCGGAGCCATCGTGTCAGAGACCGGACGCCTGTCCCCGCGGCGAGGGCCTGGGGCATCAGCGATGCTGGGAGCAGGCGGCCCGGGGTTCAGATGTCGGTGAGGCCCTGAGAGGCCACGGCCAGGCGAGGGGCGCGCGGGGGCTCGGCGCTGTCGGGGTGACGCCGTGACTGGCGGGGACCCCAGGGCGCGCACTCACGGGAACCTCGCTCGTGCGCGTTTGCCTGAGTGTGCACGCGGGCTCCGGGGGCTCCGGGGGCCCTGAGCTCGCTGTAAACGGCGAAGGGTCTTAAGACACCATTTCCTCTCAGCCCCATCCCGGGCGAGCTGAAGGTTGGGGCGCAGCTCCCCTGTTCTGAATCCTGAATCCGGCAGGAAGGGCAGGGGGAGGCCGTGGGGAGCCGGCTGTCAGGACAGCGTGTTCCCTGCCGGGAGCTGCGGGTGCCGCCGTCTCCCCGTGCTGCCCGAGCGTCTCTTCCAGCCCGAGACACGGGCGCGCCCAGGGCCTCTGCACCGGCCTCCTCGGCACAGGGCGCGCTGCAGTGGGGGCCCGGCCGGGAGGGGGGCGCCACTGCAGCCCCGCCGCCGTCCAGGGCCCCCCACCTGCTCCCGCGTGCAGTGCGGCCTCTTCCCACGCCCCTTAGTCTGTGAGCCCTGCTGGGGGCCGGACGCGCCCCCCTGTCTGCAGCGCGTAGAGGGGCTCAGGGCTCGGTGCAGGCTGGGCTGGGGGCTGGACTCAGGGCCTGGGCTGGGGGCCGGGCTGGGGGCCGGGCTCGGTGCAGGCTGGGCTCCGGGGCCTGCGGGCAGGAGGAGCAGCAGTGAGGCCGGGAGGCGACCCGGGGACGAGTCCTACCCGGGCAGGGTCCGGGCTCACGTCCTCTGTCGTCAGGCCGCCCGGACGCCGCGCGCTGCAGCACCCACCCGGGTCCGGGAGCGGGTCCGGGCCCACCCGCGGGGGCTCTGCCTGGGCTGGGCACCCCCCCACCACCACCGTGCTGTCCCCGCGGGGCCGCCGCGCGAGCCTGATGCAGCGCCGCTGCTGTCCGTGTCTTTCAGACGGAAACATCCTTCAACCTCATATCAGAAAAGTGTGACATTCTGTCCATTCTCCGGGACCATCCTGAGAACAGGATTTACCAGAGGAAGATCCAGGTGAGGAGGGGGACCCCGCACTGGATTTCATTTTCCGAAAATAATTTTTTCCCCAAAGCACCGCGCTGTCTGCTGGGGTGGCTGCAGGGTCGCAGCGCGGGCGCCTTTAGGAAGCTCCCCCTGTCGCAGCCCAGGAGGCTGAGCACGGCGGTGAAAGGAGGGGCAGGCGCACCTCGCGGGCTGGTGTGTGCGGGGAGGGGGCCGGGAGCCCCATCTCCTGAGTGGCCCCTGGCACCCCCTACCAGGGCGGGGGGGGGGGGCAGAGAGGCGCCCCGGGCTCTGAAGAAGGGCGTCTGTGCCGGAGGGCGCAGCTTGCAGCGCAGGGCGGCAGGCGGGGCCCGGGGTCCCGGGGTGGCGCCTCTGCGTCCCTGCCGGGCCGGCTGCCCTCCCTGCAGGGGGGGCTTTCTCTGGCCGCCCGCAGGACCGTCCGGCTGTTCCCCACGCAGCGCAGCGGTCGCTGGGCCGTTGGTTACCCGGTGACCGCTGTGGGCCCCGCATCCGCCAGGGGCTAAGGCTGGCGGATCCCGTGACCCGCACGCCTCTGGGAGCACCTCCGGGGGCAGGAGCAAGGTCGGGCCACACCCCAGCAGTTGCACACCCTTCCCTGCCGGCCTCGCGAGCCCCATCCGCTCTGCGCCCTGGCAAACCACATCTGCTGTCAACGTCCTGGCTGGCCCCGGGGTGGGGCAGCGAAGGGGACCCCAGGCCATTCCCGAGGGGAAGCAGGAGCTGGGCCAGAGCCGGAGGGAGCTGACACACTGGCAGAAGGGGCCAGATTGCCTGTGTGTCTGAGGGCGGCGCCTCCTCCCGCCCAGCAGGCAGCCCCTCACCAGGCACTGGCTTCTGCTCAGCACCCTCCCTGCCCGGAGCCCCGCGCGACCCTGAGGGGGGTGCAGACTCCGGCCCCCAGCGTCCCCTGCCGCCCTGTTCCATCACCCCGTGGCCCATCTTTCCTCAGACTGTGGGTGGCTCAGGGCAGGGACCGTGGGGGCCTGAGCCCCTCTAATCTCAGCACCTGACCCAAGGACACGGCGTTTACATTTGTATCACTGAGGGGCTGGGGGCTGGGAGGGGGCTGTGGCTCTGAGAGGAAAGACAGGAATTGGGGGTCGGTGGGTGCTGGCCGGACACCACACGAGGGCCCTTCTGTCCAGAATCCCACAATTCCTTCTCTCCCCACAGGAACTCAGCAAAAGATTCACTGCAATCCGCAAGACCAAGGGGGATGGGAACTGCTTCTACCGGGCCTTGGGCTATTCCTACCTGGAATCTCTGCTAGGGAAGAGCAGAGAGATCCTCAAGTGAGTAGGGGCGAGGGGCCAGGGGCAGGGGGAGACGCTGAGGCTTTGTTCTCTGCGCTACAGGTAGCCCTGGCTCTCTGGAGGGTTCCCCCTCTGTGCTGCTGGAGAGCTGCCAGGCCCCAGTGTTGATGTTGGGGGACACTAACTGGCACTGTGGTGGAGGTGGGGACAACCAAGAGGCTGGGGATGGAGCCAGGGACCTTCCAGACACTTCCCAGCCCTCTGGTCTGAGTTGGCCTAGGTGGGCCTTAGTGGGTGCATTCTTGAAGGCTCACCTCAAAAAGAAAACCGAGAAAGCAGCTCTGCCCAATTGCCCTGAATAATTTCAGAGGACCTTGGTTTTGAGCGTGAGCAACCCAGGTCCCAACCTGGTGGCCTGAGTCTCGGGTAAAGCCGTCAAGGGCCTCTAGCAGCTGCTCCCCATGGTGACCCCGTTAGGCCCTTGGGCTTGGGCTTAGTACCAGGACTTCTCAGACTTCTTCTGTGCAGAGCACCTGGGGGCTGGGTAAGGGGCGCATTCCCTTCAGCAGATCCAGGTGCGGCCTGAGAGTCTGTATTTCTCACAACTTCCTGGGAGAGGCTCTGCTGCTGGGCCTCAAGACCACGGCTTGAGTAGCAGGGAGCTACAGGAATGTCTCCAGACATTGCTGAGTGCAGACATAGTGCATGACTGCACTTCACAGACATTGCATGTTTTACAAAAGGAAGATTTGAGGCCACCCTTGTCCTGCAAATCTGTTGCACCATTTTCCCAACAGTGTGTGCTCACTTCCCGCCGCCGTGTCCTGTTTGGTAATCCTTGCTTATTTCACTCTTTGTCAAAATTATTCTATCAGTTGTGATGATCTTTGATGTTGCTGTCGTAATTGTTTCGGGGAACCTCAAACTGCACCCACATAGGACAGCGAACGGAAACAGTAAAGGTGGTGTCTGCTCTGACCAAGCAGCCATTCCTGGTCTCTCTCGCTCTCCGTGGGTCTCCCTCTTCCCTCAGACACAGCAACACTGAAATTAGGCCAGTCCGTAACCCCACCATGGCCTCGAAGTGTTTCAAATGAAAGTTCCAGTTTCTCACTTTCAATCAGAAGTTAGAAATGGCTGAGCTTAGTGAGGAAGGAATGTCAGAAGCAGAGAGAGACTGAAAGTTAGGCCGCTTATACCAGAGTTAGCCATCCTGTGACTGCAAAGGAAAAGTTCTTGAAACAACTGAAAACAACTTTCTTGCTGACATGGCGCTTTAGCGGTCTGGACAGAGGCTCCACCAGCCATAACCTTCTCTTAAGCCACAGCCTAATCCAGAGCAAGGCCCTAACTCTCTTCAGTACTATGAAGGCTGAGAGAGGTGAGGAACTTGCAGGAGAGACGTCTGAAGCTAGCAGAGCTGGATGATGAGGTTGATGAAAGGCGCCATCTTGGCATCTATTTTGACCTGCCTTTTTTTTTTTTTTTGTGGGCCCCTCGCCGGCAGCCGGGGAACGAACCGGTGCTGCAGAGGCTGTGAGCAGCCTCGCAGCCCACTGCTCAACTGCTGCGCCACCAGGGGAGGCCCTGACCTGCCTTTAATAAGTGGAATCACTAGGGCTTATCTTTTTGTGGCTGATTTATTCCATAGAGCATTGTCTTCAGGATTCATCTATAAGTACATTGTGTAAAGAATTCCTTTCTTTTTTAAGATGGAGTAATATTCCATTGTGTTCATACCACATTTTATTTGTCCATCGATCTGCCCATAAAATGGACATTCTATTGGGAGATGTTGTTATCCAGAACATTCACAGCTAGTGAGAAGTCAGTGCCTGGCTTCAAAGCTTCAGAGGACAAGCTGGTTCTTTTGGGAGAGGCTAATGGAGACTTCAAGGTGAAGCCCATAATCCTTTACTATTCTAAAAACTCTGGGGCCCGAAGAATTATGCTAAATAGAAATCTAGGCTGCTTGTGCTCCGTACATGGGACATCTGTTTTGCTACACGGTTTATGGAATATTTTAAGCACACTGTTGAAAGCTACTGCTCAAAAAACAAGATTCCCTATAAGATATTAGGGCTCGCTGACAAGCACCCGGTCCCCCTGTTCTGCTGCGCGAGGAGTGGCTGCATCTTCATGCTGCCGACACAGGCCCGTCTGCAGCCCGCGGGCCCGCCGTCATTGCCACTGCCAAGTCTTCTTATTTAAGAAGGACATCTCCCTAAACCACAGCTGCCTGCCACAGACCGTGATTCCTCTGATGAATCAGGGCAGCCCATGGAAAACTTCCTGGAAAGGATCCCCCATTTGACTTTATGATTCATGGGAGCAGGTCAAAAAATAGCACTGAGGCATTTGGAAGTCACCCTCCTGGATGATGTTGAGGGGTTCAAGACGTCAGTGGAGGAAGTCACCGTGGATGAGGTGGAACCAGCAAGAGAACGGGCACTAGAAGGGGAGCTGGAAGCTGTGACTGAATCTCCTGACACAACTTTAATGGGCGAGAAGCAGCTGTTGCTTATGGATGAGCAAAGACAGCGGTTTCTGAGCCGGATGTTGTCCTGGCGAAGAGGCTGTGAACACCGTGGAAGTGACAACGGAGGATTTGGAATGTTCTGTATACTCTGTTGATAAAGCAGGGGCGCAGCCCCAGGGCTGGAGAAGGCTGACTCACTGTGAAAGAAGTTCTGGGAATGAAATGCTACCAAGCAGCTCGTGCGGCGGAGAAAACTTTCATGAGAGAAGAGTGAATCAAGGCCGCAAACTTCTGCTGAATTAGTTGAGTTTATACATACGTGACCCTGCACGGCCACCCCGCCCTTCAGCCGCCACCTCCCTCGTCACTCAGCAGCCAACGACATGGGCCAAGACCCTCTACCAGCAAAGAGATGAGGACTCCCTTTAGGCTCACATTTTTAGTAAAAGTGAAATTAAGGTCGGTACCTAGTTTGCTAGACATTGCTGTTGTTGCACACTCAGCAGGCTACACTGTGGTGTAAACCTAACTTTTATATACACTCTGAACCAAAACATTTGTGCAACTCACTTTATTGATACTGGCTTTTTTATTTATAAATAAATTTATGAGTAAATAAATTTATTTATAAAATAAAATTGATAACAACATTGTGGCGGTTTGGAACCGAACCTACAGTCTCTCTGAAGCGTGCCAGTCTCTCCTTGAGGAAAACAGCCAACCCTAGTGAGAACCACCAGGAGAACCATCATCTCTGGCTCCAAACACACTCACGCAAGGGTATAGAAGTCACGCCCTCCTTTCCTTATTGTGAGTGGGTCAGTCACATCCTCTCCTGAGACAACCTGGCCGAGCCCCTCAGGTGTGTCTGTCAGGCGTGCAGCAGTACAGTGCAGGGGTCTTCCCGCACCCTGTGCTCCCCGAGCTGTGCCGTGGGTGCTGGCTGAGGTCTCTCACTGGACGTGTGGCCTTGGCAAGTGACCCGAGCTGCAGTTACTGTGTCTGCGGAGGGCGGATGGTATGGTTTAGGGGGCTGTCCCGAGGGTGCGGCAGTGTTGCTTGCAAAGCCTGTCCCCATGTGTCTCTGGGCCGGACCTGCACCCTCTGGGGACACCTCCCCGCCTGCCAGGGCACCTTTCCTCCCTGAGGTCACCAACAGCAGGGCGCCCCATGCAGATGCCCACGCTGGTCTTGGTGACGCAGTATTGGACAGTATTCGTATGGTAATGAGTGTTGTGGGGGACAAAACAGGCCAGGAGGGAGGTAGGGTTGCCTGGGGGGCAGGGGCCATAGTTTTAATAGGGTTGGAGGAGGCAGGGAGGGCAGGTCACATAGGACGACGTGGTCCTTTATAAAGTCACTGAATTTCAGCCTGAATGAGATGGAGCACGAAGGCCTTGAGCAGAGCGTGGGGCCTGACCTGCTGTGTGGAGGGTAGACTGGCGGTGCAGCCAGGGCGCTGCAGAGGACATGGTCAGGGAGTGACCTGTGGAGAGGTGGTAATCGGGTTCCAGATACCTTGAAGATGGTGACAGGGCTCGCTTCCGGCTGGGGTGTAGGGTACAGGGTGTGGTATGTGGTGGGCGGAGAGAAGAATCAAGGGGCCCTGCCAGGTGCTTGGGGTGAGTTACCAGGATGGAGACGCCACTTGCTACAAAGGGAGGATGGGCAGATGGAGAGCTCCGTTTTGGCCTTGCTAAGTCAACTGGCCACCCCAGCAGGGACGTGCATGGGCAGTGGACGTATAAGGCTAGTGCTACCCCCATTTTACAGATGTAAAATGCATCACCACCTCTCCACAGGTCACTCCCTGACCATGTCCTCTGCAGCGCCCTGGCTGCACCCCCAGTCTACCCTCCACACAGCAGGTCAGGCCCTCCGCTCTGCTCAAGGCCTCTGTGGCTCCATCTCGTTCAGAGAGGTTAAATGACCTTGGAGAGGTTGAATGACCTGCCCAAGGTCACACTCAGGCTGATGTGCAGCTGAAACACTGCAAGCTTGAGCTGAGTCCGCACTCTCGGCCCAACGCCAGCCTCCTTCCTCCTGTCACCTCCTACACGTGCCTTAGGCATGAGCTGAGGCCTGGGTGCTCGCCAGGCCCACACTCAACAGTTTATCTGTGTGCCCAGTGCCTGCAACAGCAGGGTCAGCAGCCCTGGTGAGGAGTGAATGCGGGAATGTGGCGGAGTTCAGGGCTGAGGGATGAGGAGGGGCCAGGGGCCCCAGAGCAGAGCACAGCAGGGGCACAGGGACCAGAGCGGCCCTCGGGGCACCCCCAGTGGAGGCAGGCCGCCGTCACCCACACTGCGCTGAAGGGGCCCAGAGCCGGAGAGCCGCTTCACTGTGGAGCTGTGACTCCCAGTCCTCCTGCACCTGCTCTGGACTTAGGTATGGCGGGGCCCAGCGAGGGGGCAGTTTCCCTTTAGGGAACAGCAGCCCCTTCTGTTGCAGGAGCTCAGGTCCTGCTCATGCACACCACCCCCCTCCAGCAGCTCGGTGCCTCAGCCTCCCAAGGCCTTTCGCATGTGGCTCTACTCCCCTGCGAGTGCCCTGCTGAACCCTCTGCAGCCTGGTCTCCCTCCCAGGGCTTGGTATCTGCACATGCCAGCTGGTCCCCAACCCCTCCACTTGGCCTTTCTGGTGCTGGCTGCAGCCTTTCCTCCGTGGGCCAGTCACTTGGTCTGGATCTTTGTGCCACTGGACTCTGGGCCAGAGACCAGGGGCCCGGTGGGGCTCCTTGTGCCCCCAAGGGTACCAGGACAGGTCCCAGGAGGGGCTCACTAGCGGCCTGCAGTGGGAGCAGAAAGGGACAATTTAGCAATTACAAAGCAAGGCCCACTGGGCCGGGTCCTGACGTCGGTGCTGGTGAAAGGCCATGGTGCAGAGGGCCTGGCGTGGGGGCGTGGTGCTCGCCGAGGGCTGCGGGGAACACCGTGAAGCGACCAGACAGGGCCAGTGAGTGGGGAGCTGGGGAGAGGCGCGCAGCAACCCACGCCAGGCCCAGCTGTATTTCCACCATCCGCAGCGGACAGTGAGAACCCCAAGAGCATAGGTATTAGGAAGTGATGAATGTTATCATTTTTAGTTAATTTAAATGTAAATTTACATAACTTGATTTTTAATGTCTGCTTAACACCTGGCTGGCAGAATTCTTGGGCATTTAACAATGAGTTCTTGAGCAGCACTTGGCTGAGGGAGCAGGAGCTGGCCCACGGGAATGGCCTGGGTGGGCTGGAGGCGGTGGGGCTGTGCTGGAGATGAGGTTGGTGAGGTAGGCGGGGCGCTCCCTGCTGAGCTGCATGTGTCCTGAGGGAGAGGGCTGGGCAGGTCGCCTCACAGGTGGCTCTGGAGGTCCCTGTAGAGGGAGGCAGGGGCCATGGCCTGGAACCAAGGAGCAGGAAAGAGGGAGAGCTGAGATCCGTGAAGAGGAGCATCAGCAGGCCTGGGAGGGGGTGTGATGACCTGTTTCCGCATCTGGCACTGGCCGTACCACTTGCCAGGGCTACACACGACAGGGAGGGCAGCAGAAGTCTGCGTGTGGTCCGCGTGGAAGTGCTTTTGCGAGGCAGACAAGCCCTCCACCTGCCAGTCATACCCTCCTCTTTCAGGTGTGCGTGGGGGGGGGGGCCTGCAGGCGAGGGTGGGGTCCAGAGCTGACAGTCAAGCACCAGTCTACTCCCTTTAGGTTCAAAGAGCGTGTACTGCAGACCCCAAACGACCTTCTGGCTGCTGGCTTTGAGGAGCACAAGTTCCGAAACTTCTTTAATGCTGTGAGTTAACCTGGGCGCTGCCAGAGTCCCTGTCCACAGCCCTGTGGTTGTGCCCCTTGCTCCTCCAGTTGGGGAAGGACGAGGCTTGTTCCTGCGCTCCTGCTTGTGAGGATGCAGGGACACCAGGAGCCCAGGGCCCTGCCTCCTCTGGGAGGAGGCACCTCCTTGAGCGCAGTTCTCAGGCTAGAAACTCCCCCAAGCCTCTTTTACCCCAGACCCCTCGATCCCCGCTTCCTGGATTGCTCCTGAGGAGGTGGGGCTGGACCCTTTTGGGTCTGAATGAGTCCCAACCACGGGAGGCCCCAAGTGAGTTCCCCAGACATGACTCAGGTGAAGATACCTGCTACCAAGTAGCCTCTTGCTTAGCTTTGGTGGGATCTGAGTGACTTCAGTTATCTAAGACTGAAACGCTTGAGGGAGTCCGTGAAGGGAAGGCGGACCTAGCCTGGGAGGCTCCTGGTGACGCCCACGGGGTGCAGTTCTACAGCGTGGTGGAGCTGGTGGAGAAGGACGGCTCGGTGTCCAGCCTGCTGAAGGTGTTCAACGACCAGAGCTGCTCGGACCGGATCGTGCAGTTCTTGCGCCTGCTCACCTCGGCCTTCATCAGGAACCGCGCAGATTTCTTCCGACACTTCATCGACGAAGAGATGGACATCAAAGACTTCTGCACTCACGTAGGTCTTCAGTGTCTCAAGCTCGGGGGCTCAGCACCAGCCCTGGGCTCTCCTCCTGCCCCTCTCCTGTGGACTTCAGCACCAGCATCTCTAGCAAAGGGTCATGGGTGTCACCTCTGCGTTTGTAACTCAGGGTGCTAGAAACAGCTTCTACTTGAGCTGCCTAAACTGTGGCTTGGGCAAGTCACCTTCCCTCTCTGGGCCTCAGATTTCCAACCTGAGAAATAAGGTTTGTCTTATTTGACCGGACTGTTTACACAATTGCTGAGGCGCAGTCCTGGAGCCACATTTGCCCTAAGACATGTTTCATTTATGATGTATGGCTTTTATCTGAGAGCTGCCAACATGTAAGCACTGGGCAATTTTCCTGAGTATCTTGATTTTTCGAAAGAATCAGAAGATCCAGCTCCCCAGGCCTTATTTTTGCATGGCCACAATCAGCAGGAGCTAAGGGGCAGCTGCCCTAGTAATGAGGGCCACACCGCCAGCTTCACCACCTCTGCCTCTGCCCTCTTCAGCACCCTGACTCACTCCCCTGCCTGGCCTGTTAACTGGAAATCCCTTCACCAGCTGAGATTGTGATTCTGTGCCCCACCTGAAAACTTCCTGTCTCTCTGTCCAGACGCCTCACGGTACCTTCCTCTGGTCAGTCAAAACAGACCTTGCAATTTTAGTGATTTCTAGTTGTTGTCCTCACTGACAGGTTGTGTGAAGATTATTTCCCAGCACAGAGGCTTTGGCCCACGACCATGAAAGCCAGGCCTCCCTCCTGAACTGGGTTTTCCCATTTTGGTCTTTGCAGGAAGTGGAGCCCATGGCCATGGAGTGTGACCACATCCAGATCACGGCCCTGTCTCAGGCGCTGAACATCGCCCTGCAGGTGGAGTATGTGGACGAGATGGACACGGCCCTGAACCACCACGTGTTCCCTGAGGCGGCCATCCCTTCCGTTTACCTGCTCTATAAAACATCCCACTACAACATCCTCTATGCAGCCGATAAACGTTGATTAATTTTAGGCCATGCAGTGGAGCCTGTCACCTAATGGGACTGCATTCTGAATGGAACATTTTGACTTTTCAATTTTTTAAGCGATTAAGACTGTAGTTAGAAAACGTACAGCTTTTTGGACAAAGTCACTGGGAATGAGGTCAGCCCACTATGGACTGTGGTAACTTGGGTGATACGTGTAGTATTTATTTTCATGGAGGATCGTAATTTCTAGCTCTGGGCTAGGCCGCCAGGACCTCTGGCTCTGCTCCCAGTTCTCCGAGGCCTTGGGCAGGCCACCTCCGCTCTCTGACCTGTTCGTCTGGAGGAGGTTCCTGTCGGTGTTAACATTCTATGTAAAAATGGGTTTTCTGGGTTCCTTTCACCAGAGGCACTGCCTCTCTGCAGGGGAGGAAAGGATGGACGTCACTGTCTTGAGTGACTTACCAGCTGTATAAAAAGCAAGTCCAACGAGCTATTGGACAGGCTTCGGTGGATGGCTGGTAAGTTGAGGCAGACTTGAAAATGAGGGTTCAGTGTGGTTCCAAACACTCACAACGGCAGTGATTTCTTACCCCTAACTCAGGAGGAAAAACATCTTTATGACAAAGTCTCAAAAAGGCCTTCAGTCTTCAGCATGAAGCTTAAGCTGTGGGGTCCCCTCTACCTCTCTCAGGGCCAGGCCTACCTGCCTTTGAGGTGCTGCTGTCAGCCACATCTGGACAGAGGGCTTGAAAAAGACTAGGTTCTGGGCCCGAATCTGTGTGTGTGTGTCCGGGACCAGGAAGCCGCAGCTGTGCCACCATCCCCACCAAATCCTGGCAGGAGAGTCGAGATCCTCGGCTGGGGAGGAAACCAACATAGACAGCTGGAGACCACGTGAGCAGAGTGGCGGCTCTGCAAGGCTGTCTTTGGCTCCTTCCCCCTTCTAACTAGCTGATGGGCTGATGAGAGGTCAGGTGGGGAAAGACGGGGACAAGCTAAGGAAACTGGCAGTTGGGGAGAGTTCTGTTGTAGAAAACTGCCCGCTAGCCAGAAGTCCTAGCCAGCAGCCTCCTCATTCATCCTCCTGGATGTGCTTCTTGATAATGACCTCTTCACGAATTAACCTCCGTGCTGCCCGGGCCCTCCCGGAGCCTCGGCTGGAGCAAGCTCTCTTCCTCTTCAGGAAGCAATGAAGAAAGCAAGAGTGGACTCGTCCGTTGAGGTACTTCTGCAGGCTTCATTCTGCAGGCGCTATGAGCCGACAGCCAGACCGCGCATGAAGACTGGGTGGCTGACTCTGCATCGCTGTCCGCTCTCACGAAGGCGGATGTCAGCGTGCTTGCACTCCAGCCAGGGGCCCTTTCTCATTCTGCCCTTGGCTGGAATTTGGACCCAAGGGGTCAAGCCAAGTAATTAGGTATTTTTTGCACAGGAAGGTAAACTTGACGCTGATCTCTGAATCAGTGTCTGATCATTGTCCCACCCAGCTCTGGGTAGGAGTGCTGGGGTCTGTGAAAAGCACACCAGAAGAGCGGGAGGAACATGTGACCTGAGAGTATCAGTACCATTCTCCCAACTCTAGGGCCTGAGCACTACGCCAGGCTGAAAGCCCCTGGCACTCTGAGGGGTTACATGGGTCCTGGGCCCTTGAGAGCTGAAGGCCTCAAGCACAGCACTGCTGCCACTTCTCTGCAAGTGTGGCTTGTGTGGCACTCATAAACGAGTTTTCTTTCTGGCAGGTCTGCTGGAGGGAAATCCCTCCCTGGAGACTTGCCTATACTATGCCAGTGCTCGCAGGGTCCTTCCCTACCCTTTTGTTATCAGCAGGCCCAAGAGAAGTAAGCCAAGTAATTTTCATGGTCTTACCCTTTGCTTTCCTCTTTTCACAAAATTACTGCCCTCTTCCCTTCACCTCTGCCCTCAGATCTTGCCTGTGAGGGAAAGCACCATGGGGGAAAGGAGGGCAGAAGTTAGTGAAGCTTTACATCATCCATGAAGTTACCCCGCGAGCTCACAGCAGCCAACCTTGCTGGGGATCACACCTGCTGCATAATTCTGCCCCCCACCCCAAGAAGCCATCTGATGTTTTCCAGACCAGCAGTGAGAAGGAAAGTGGTTCTTGGTTTTTACTGCCACGTATTTATTCCTTTCTTTCTAAAGGAAACTTTATAATCAACGGGAATATTTAACAACAAAAAGCGCGAACTGTCCTTGCTTCTGACCAGGTTCCCACTCTAAGCAGAAAAGGACTCTCGAGCCAGACTGTCCAGGTTGAAACCTCAACCTCGTCACTTACTGGCCACGTCACCTCGGGCAAGTGATTTCACCTGGACCCAAGTCCCGTGTTTGTAAAATAAAAGCGGAACCCACACACGACAGTATTACTGGCTAAAGCAGAATGAGACTGTGTGAAAAGAAACGTAAGACCCGACACACAACTAAGAGTGCCACAGGTGGGATGTTCCCAATGGGCACGACACTGCAAGCGGGGAACACGCCATCTTGGCGGTGCTGTGGTGTCCCAATCAGGAAATCTGGGCACCGTCAGACAGATCTAGGAACCACACACGTTCCCACAGAGAGCAGAAATGGGGGCGGGGGCTGTGACCCAGTAAGCGGCTGCCTTGGGATCTGAGACCCTGTGGCAAACGGGCCAGGTCCTTCAGCTTCCCTGGGCTGCTGGAAAAGCTTCCTAAGCATTAAATTGGTTTCCATGACAACTTCTGTCTTGCTGCTTTGGCACCTGGCGGTGAGGCTACCACCACCCTCCCCTGAGGCTTGTGTGTGAATGAGCGCCCCGGGTTGTGGGGAAGGAGCCTTCTTATAAGGCATGGTCCCCCGATTAGTGGAAGACCCAGACACAGGATAGTCTGTCCTTGGGCTGGAGGCACCAGAGGCACCACCAGTTTCACCAAGGCTTTGCCCCATCAAGTCAGAGCAGAACTGCCTGTGTGACTGGCCTCATCTTTTAAAGCCTATCCCCAGTTATCAAAAGATTTGCTGTCAGAGAACAAGGGCAGACGGCTAAGGCCAGATCCCACGCGGTGCTAGGCCAGCATAGTGTTACTGACTTCCCCCAACTAACTCCACCATGTTAGGGAAGCCTATTCTCGTAGAACCTGAGGATAGCAATCGCTTCCCTGCCCAATTCCCAAGAGACTCAGACAAGCTAACAGCTGTGAGCACTAGAAAATGAACAGGTTCTGCAGTAGGAATAAGCAGGAACTCATGCTGAGGACCCAAAATGTTACATGATGACTGGTGAACCTCCCCAGCTTTTTGCTCCACCCGTGCTGTCCAGCAGGGGGAGATGTCCCCACATGCATCCTGCAGCCAGGGGACTATGATACTGTCCTGCCTTATCTAGAGGGCCCACTGCTGGCCCAGGGAAACCACTCAGTGAGTTAATGTTGAAATAAATTATACCACCACCCTCATATTCTGGCTAAAAACGCAGGATGACAGCTGGTTCTGACAACTAGTTTTAATTTAGGAAACCAAGTTGAAGGTACAGGAAGCCTATAAACACTGGAATACAGAAATACTTACGCTCCTCAAAGAATTCTTACTCCAAAACAACACAGAACTGCACAAGATCTCCCCCTATGGGTAGTGGAAGAGGAGATTGGGGCTGACAGTGGAGTGAGAACAAGAGGGGAGGGAGGGAAGGAGGCTTTCCACGTAACCAGGAAACAGACACTGTGTGGTCACCAACAGACTCTGACCTGGGGGCAGTTAATCTGCACTTGTACTTGACTGTGACTGCTGCTGTTTCGGCTTCTTCTTCTTCTTCTTCTTCTGTTTGGAAAGGCAGCTCAAAGCAGACTCACTTCTTGGGGCAGACATGAGCACAGGCAGTTTGCCAGACTGAGTTGGATACTTGGTTTTTAGGTCATCTTTAAAGAGTGGTTGGGAGAGTAAATGGCGCAGCTCCTTCTTAAGGAGCTTCATTTGCTTTTGTCTCCGTCGCTCTTCGTGCTGCTCAGCTTTTCCTCCTTGAAACACAATACACAACTGATCAGGTTACTATGTGATTTCTAAGACATACCTTTGTTTCTTGTGACAGATGATATTTATGATGAAAAATGTCTTGGAACTCTGAGAGGCAGGAATCAAAAATTCTCTGCAGAAGCCAGCGTATCAGGCTTAAACAGTCTAAGAGGGACTGTTTAGGAATCTTTGGACCACTCTGTCCTTCATTCACAAAACCCCATGAGGACGGGAATCATCTTCATTTCAGACAAGGAAACTTAGGCGTGGAGAGGTCACTGGTAGGAGCTCACAGAGCTAAATGTCAAACCCAGTCTTTTGATTTAAAGATCAGTTTTCTTCCTCCAATGTACCCACTTTCTGACTGGGGTTTAGAGACTGAACAGCTGCAGACTCCTGGGAGAAGTACCATTTATGCAGCCCAGGACTCCAGCACCTCAACCTCAGCACTCAGACTGCACCCGCGGAGGTGGGAGATGGGCACACCCAAAAGGTCCATGCTCGTCATGATCTAGGGAATGGAAGCCATGGCCTCTCGAATACAGCACAAGCCTGGCTCCCAGAAGGACCAGCTCCCCATTATTAAGCCCACAGGTTTGGCTCCTGGCTTCTCTGTGAGCAGATGGTAATAAATCTCTGCATTTGGTAGCCTTGTCACCAACTTGCCAACACCTCCACTGAGCTGCCCACTTGTAGGATGGAAAGAGCACAGGGCCTAACTCTGGTGTGTCAGTTCTAGATGCAGTTCTACCACTTCCGAGATGTGGGCGCTTTCCTACAGCAGGTTCACCCCTGAGTCCTTAGCCTCAGAGTAGGAGCTCAGGCAACCCCGGTGATAGAGCTGTCTCCCAACAAAATCACTTCTCAGAGTCTTCAGTTCCCATGTGAAAAGGGGTAATTCCTGCTCTGTCACAAGGCCACAGGGAAGATCAAATGAGATGACTGAAGTGCTTTGCCAGCTTGGAAGACATTGAGTAGTAACAATAATAAATAGTAACTTCAAAGATACCAAATGCTTTCTATTGACCAGGCATTGTTTCAAGTACTTTATATGCTTTAACTCAAGCTGTCTTCATAAGAACCTCATAAAGTAGGTACTTTGACTTACATTTTACAAATGAGGACAATCTAGGTACAAAGGTTAAGAACTTTGACCTGATCCTCATAACCAGTTAAGGGACTGGGCCAGCACTTAAACACAGGCCGTCTGTCTGCCACGACCATTCTGACATTATAATACCTCGCTACCTCTTTGTAAGAGGGAGGCAGCTGAGGGTTCCAGAAAAGACAGAGGAAACCAAGATGGAGGGTCCTCGGCTCAGCTGGAATAAAGGCCTATTACAAAGGAGGAAAAGGCTCTTGTTGATTTTGAAAGAACCCACTGTGACAGAGAGTCCCAAAGAAAAGGCGACTGCATCCTTCCCCAAGTCCCAGCCAGTCCACTCACCCTTGTACATGTCTTCCTCCAGCTCAATCTCCAGGGCGGCTGCTGCCTGCTCAATCCAAGAGTTGTGAAGACAAGCCTGGAAGTTCCGATACTCGGCTTTCTCAATCTGTCTCGCTAAACGGATTCGCTCCTAGGGAAAGGAAGAGAAAGTGTTCATCTGACAGAGGGTTCAGTCTCTGAGAAAGTCTTTTTTTGTGTTTTTAAGAAGGCTCTTGAGATCAGTGCTCAGTGAGATGCAACTCAGCTCCCATCGAAGTGCATTTCTGCTTCCCGATAAAAAGCAGTCATCGCTCGGGTGTACACAATTACAAGAACCAGCTTTGCAAACAATGAAGCCAAACAGCCCCACCCCTTGGAAGCCCACCAGGCTCTACCCAACTACAGGTGTCCAAAAGGAACCCCATCCCCCAGAAGGCTTCCACGACCGAGACACTGAATCACTTCAACAGCCCTGAGTTAGGGCCCAGCTCTCAACCACAGAAACAAATAATTCAGAGGCCTTTGCCTAAAAAATTTAATTATTCTTATCATAGGTGTGGGGGTGGGAATGCAGTGACAGGATACACTGACAAAATGGGAGATCTTCTGATGGATGGGGGACAAGATCCACAGGAAGTTAGGGTGGCTCCTAATCCTCCTTACTAAGGAAAATTCTCTGTAACCCCCTATTTTCATCCTCATCTCCCACCGTATTTCCCCACGAGGCTAATGGTCCTTTTGAGTCCCAGAAGTCAATAATCTTTGAGTTGTTCTGTTTTTGTTCCCTCAATTCCTGGAATTCCATCTCCTCTTCACATCTCTACCCGACAGGCTCAGAGGAAACCTTATCTCCTACCAACATTAACTATATGCCCACTTATCCCATTTGTACCTTAACTTTAGTGTGGGCTTGGCCTGCCTTGTGAGGCTGTGAACCTTCGAGAATCCACTCTGCTTTGGTACCAAATACAGTGGGGCCCACAATAAGCAGCACTCGGTGAATGCCTACTGGATTAAATTAAAAGCCCAATTTTATTACTGGTGTCGGGCAGTGACTGGCATGTGCTTCAGGAAGTTGACCAACCTTTAGTATCTGCTTTAACAAAACATGCTGACCCCACTTTCCTACAATCACCTGCAGGGCTGTCCTGGCAGCATGCTCACTGCCCTTGTCCATCTGGTAGTAGTTCAGATTTCAGGAGCAGATAGTGAACACTCTTTGCACTTTTTGGTCATTCACCCTCTCTCCCTTCTGCAGGTACAGTGAACCCAATTCTTTTTTTATTTCTTTTTTAGGATCTCCATGTAAGCTGTTGGCAGAACCATCACTCAGTCTGCAAGGGTTACACTGCCCCAGTCTCACAGCAAGGGGAGGGAGCAGGCCGTCCCCTCCCTCTACAAGCACTGGGCTTTCAGCTTCTCTTTTTACCTTGACTGCATCCATGTACTTTGTCTGCACGGGGAACAATGGGATATCCTCATCTTTCTTGAGGGTTTTATAAATCTTCTTAAAGTTGATCATGTCCTCAGGCCCAATCAACATCAGGCTGAGGCCTTCATTGGTGGCACGAGCAGTTCTACCACTTCGGTGGACATAAATCTCTGAGGTTCGAGGGACCTGCCAAAGGAGGAACAAGTAGTCAATATGTGGTTATCACCAAACACTGCTCTTCTGCCTCGGGGCCAGAAAGCCAATACTAGCCCCCCCACCCCACCCCCCCAGCCCAGCCCGCAGCTAGAAACCTCACCAGCATCACGGACAGATTTGGCCCTTCTCCATTAGTCCCACATTCAAATGATGCCCAGGGTTAGTCAGCTCCTCAGGTAGGCTCTACCCTCCCATAATCCCTACCCTGGTTCAAGCCCCCACATCACTCAACTGGATAATGACAGTCAATTGTCAGGTGGTCTCTAGTACTCCCCATCCCCCAGACCAGCCCAAAGTGCCAGCGTCAAAGCTCAGACCATAAGGCCCTTTTAACTAAAGAAACGCTGATTCATCATAAACTCTGAATGGATGACTGAGGATGGTAATCACAACCAATGTTTACTGAGTGACTACAATGTGCCAGGCAATTTTAAACATTCTGCAGGTATTACCCCTTTTATTTCTTCTAATAATAACAGGAAACAGATGCTTTTGGGATCATCCACACAGAACAGGACTCTGAAGCAGATGTTAAACTGGTCCTTCTAGGTTACCCTATTAAATGGTGAAACCAGAATTCAAATCGAAACAGTCCAGCTCCAAACACCATGCTAGGCCCCTGGGCTATGCTGCCTCTACTGCTGCCTGACATCAACCACAGGGGTTGTGGCATGGTGGTGACAGGCCACCCCTTCCCCAATTCCCGTGGCACACATAGCAATAACCAAGCCTAACAGCCTTTAAGCCACTGAGCCCAACCACACTCAGTATCTTTTTCAAAGCAGTGCTCTAAGCAAAGCCTTGACCTGTTCATAATGGTACCGGCAATGAGATCTATGTGACACTCAAGGCCTTTAGTGACTTTTTCCCTCATTTCCCTCTCGGCCAGCTTCCCACCCCCGCACGCTCTTTTCGCCTTACTTTCCTGGCTCCACACCCAAATCCTCTCAAATTTTTTGAAAAGCGCTCCCCAACCTCTCAGACTAGAAGCTACCTATCTCGTCCCTATTTCGCAACTTCCTAATACCGTCTACCTTAAGTTATTGTTGTGGTCATCGCCATCTCCTTTACTGGGCTTAACACTTAAGGGCCGGGGCTTTATTTCATTCATCCAGATATTGCCAACAAAGACTGACCCAGTCTCTTTCCCAAAAAAGATGAATAAAATTAGCTAAAAATGAACTGGCACCCTATAAGATTTTGAAAAGCAAGAGGAAAGATTCAAGAAGAAAAACAATCTTGTCATAGTAACTACCATTTATCGAGCACTTACACGTGCTAGGTGCTTCATCAGCATGAGCACCTTTCATTCTCATAAATGGATTCCCGCTCCCGGCTTCACGGACGACGGCACAGGCACTGACGTGCTCAAAGCTGACCAACCATGAAGCGGCAGAGCAGCATTCACATGCCAGCAGTTCGGCTCCGAAGCCCACACTCTATAGTAGTGTTTGTCAGGCACATGCACTAAAATTCATGTTACTAGCAACAGCAGCCAACATTAAATACTTACCGTGCATATGCATTAACTTACCGTACCTAACAAGAACCTAAGAAGCAGGTGCAGTGATAGTTGGGATTTAAGTCTAAGTAGGTCCTGATTCCCATACCCTTCTGTGTCTCTACATCAGGGTAACACTTTACCAGATTATTACGTCTACTTCATGGAAGACACTAATACTCTTAACTTGCCAACACCAAGTAGACTGCCCAAGCAAAAAAGAAAGAAGTTATGTGACATCAGACAAAGCTGAGAGGTTTTCCCTGACAATCTTACCAGTGTTCCAAAGCAGCAGGAGCTAGTTACGAGATGCCCGCAGTACTCTCTATGGCATGAGCCCTTGGGACCAATAATTTCTCCCCCTCACTGCCAACACCTGTGCTTTAAAAATTCCCTCATTCAGTGCAAGGAGAGGCTTACAAATGCCCAGATGCCCCTACCTGGTAATGGATGACATGCTGGACCTTAGGAATATCCAGGCCCCGAGCTGCCACATCTGTTGCCAGGAGAACACAGCTGTGGTGGAGAAAAAGTTCATTAATAACAACTAATTGCTATCATTAATCAAATTCTGACCACTTGCTAAGTGCTTTAAACACTATAATTCTTACAAACACCCTTGAGGTTAATACTGTAATCTACTTTCACAGATGACGAAACCGAGGTTCCGGAAGAGTAACTACCCCCAGGTACATGCACAGCTCTTTAGCTGTGGAACCAGGATCCAAACCCAGGTCTCACTGACCACAATGAACAAGCCAAACCCTGCAACACCAAACGACCACCTCGAGTGAATTGAGGGCACACATTCTAATTCCTGTCACCCTGTCACTTCTCTCCAACTGCACAGATGGCCTTGCTCTCCTTGCTGTCCCGTACACATGCCAAACATGTTCTCGCCTCCAAGACTTTGTATTTGCTGTACCAAGGGCTCTAAAAGTCTTTCTCAGATATTCACATTTTGCTGTTTTTATCATTCACTCTTCAAATCTCCCCTAGCAGAGCAGCCTCCCTGACCACACCCACCTCCCCTCCTGCTCCATGCACACTGCATGCTCGCGTTGGAACATATTCCCTCCCACCGCTGGAAAGCAAGCTGCACGAGAGCAAACACTCTGCATTACACACTGTTCTACTGCCAGCCTCTAAAAAGGTGTCTGGTTCATAAAACACAGTCATTTGTGTTGGGTTAAGTTTCTTAATATGCACTTGTTACAGAACGCACCTCAGTAAAGGGGGACAAGCATACCACAGTGAAGAGATGTCATTTGCCCTGCTCCCGCTTACATGCAGCTTCCAGGGCCTACAATTCCCAGCTGGTCACTAACGGCACCTCCTGAATGCGGGGGCGGGGGGCAACTGGTAAGAAGCAAAGTGGAAGCAAGGAGGGAGAGGAGTCACTTGGAGAAGAGCAATGTGGGTGAGACTCTTGGGGGGGGGGGTGCTCCTGGTTCTTGGCAGAGACCACGGTAGTTGCTGTCATGCTCTTGTGGTGGATTAGATGGTGCATTTTCAAAGGTCTCTCCTGTCCCAACTTCCTGGGACCTGCCTAACCCCCTTTTTCTTGTGGCTCCTCACCCGAAGATGCCTTAAACTTTTGGTAAGCTTGATTCATATCTCAGCTACCTCACTCTGGGCCAAGGCTATTGGGCTGGGTATTTAACAAGCAGATGGGTAATTTTCAGTTTGCTATTATTTGAATCCCTTCTCTTCTCTTCTCTCTCTATGAACCAATTAACGATAGCACATACTAAAACCTGCAGCGGGACAGCAAGGGTTCTGAGGTCTGACAGGCTCGCCTGAGACCCAGTTTTGTCACTTTTAGGCTTGGGCAAGCTGACCAACTTTTTTAGATCCTACTTTTTTCATATATAACATGAAAATAAAAAGTGATTAGTAAGCATTAAAGATAACATTTAGCAGGCACATAGTATATTGCCAGGTTTGTTCCAAATATGTTATGTAACTAGGTCTATTTAATCCTCTTTTAACTACACCGCAATAGCTTCTATTACCATGCTAACCGAGAGAAAGTTGAAACACAGAGTAGTAGTATCTGATCAGCCAGGGAGTGCCACAGTCAGGATTTGACCTCAGGTAGTCTGGCTCCAGTCCATGATTTTAATCATGATCTACTCTGCCTCATCTCAACCATGTTAGAAGTGACTGCGACAATCCAGCTAAAATGCCAGCATAATATTTACTATTAAATATCAATAACACAAGTACTACTGTTACCATCACTCATTATTATGGAATGATACTGGACATTACCAACATGCACTCGATTACCAAATGCACTAAATGTGGGTGAGTCTGTCTCCTGCTGTGCAAAATAAAAATCTACCTTCTATTGATAAGGCCCCCATGACAAAAGATAAGTTTCCCACTCCCCACCATCCTGGCGATCTTGGTCCAGTGACTAGAGGCTGGGCTCTTGGGATACGCTTAACTTACTCTTCCAGACGGGCAAACTGCTCCAAGTTTCTGAGTCTTTGCTTCTGGTGCATGCAGGCATGCAGGGTCAGTGGCATGATATCCAGAACTTTGAGCAGCCCAGAGAGGCGTTTGATGCAGGAGATACTATTGGCAAACACTAAGGTGCGGCCTGGGTGCTGCATTAAGAAGTAGTACAGGTATAAGTCTTTCTCATCAGTCTCGCAATGGATTTTGGTCTCTGTCAGTGTCTCCACAGTGGCCTCATTCCTTGTGAGGTCAATGATCTTAGGCTTGCCTCTCATGCCAATCTTTTGCATGAGAAGGTCAAGTTTGGCAGTTTTGTCGATTTTCTTAGTATGCTTCTTGTGAAGGATTCGAGCAGGAGCTTGATGTATCAGGGTCAGTGTGGCAGAAAAAACAAGAGTCTGTCTCTTTGGGTTGTACTGGGAGTCACTGAGCATCTCTAGCAGCTGTGAGAGCTCAGCAAAGTGACCTTTCTCAACCATCCGATCAGCCTCATCAATGACCAGGCACCTGCAGACCCATATAACCTGGTTAGTGACAGGTAAGAGAAGTCATGTATAGCACACGTTATCAACTCTACCACCCCTCCCCTTCCCCCATACCACCAGGACCAATTACTTCTACCAGGGCTTCAATGTTCTTTGTGCATGTTTGGCTTTTTTTTTTTTTTTTTTTTAAGATTTTTATTTATTTATGCATACAAAACTGGGGTACAGGTCAGAGGTGCGGCAGGGGGTGAGAGGATTCACCAGAGACAGAGTGGGGAGCAGAACAGGTGGATTGACTGAAATACACTGCTGAGGGGAGCAGCGGGCAAGACAGGAGAGGTCTGCTGCTCCACGTGGGTCAGGTCCCTGGCCGGGATCAAACTCATGCTGCAGTAGCTGTGGATATATTGATAGCATTGAGACTTCAACCCCTGCACCACCAGGGAGGCCCTGTGTTTGGCTTTTCAAAGGCCAATGTCTGCCAGTACTAACAGTTAACACTTCTGATGAGAAGGCACACACACTCATGTCACCTCAGAATGGGAGGTGAGGAGGAAGGGGGATGCACTGTCTCACCTGAGCTGCCGAAGGTTGCTCAAATGAGGGTGCTTTTCTTTAACTAGTTCCCATAGTCGGCCTGGTGTGGCAACTACAATCTCAGGCTGGCGGTTCAGCATCCTTTGCTGTTTCTGTGCGGACATTCCACCAACCAAAATAGCAGTTTTAATTCCTATAGTACACAAAACATAAGGGACACTGTTACTCAGTTTGTCTATTTTCTTCCATGGCTGACGAAGGCACCCCGGATTAGCAGAGATAGTCACCTCCCCTTCTACAGGGAGGTGCTAAAAGACTGGCTGGCCTAACTTTTGATGGCACTCCTACAAGGTCTGTCATGTCTTCTAGGATCTGGGCCCCTCCTAGTTTCCCAACCTCGTTTCTTTCAATATCCTCTCCTTTATCAACAACGGGAGGGCTGGATTTGAGTCAAACACGCTTACATCCAAGGCTCAAAAAAACACTGAGCAGTGGAACAGCACAGTGTTGCTGACAGTGACACCTGCAGGGCCAACACATCTTCCCTGGGAAGCTCCGCCCAGTCCCCAAAATTACTACGATTGAATCACCTCCAAAGCCGCTTGCTCTGTTCTCTCATGGAGGGCTCCTCAGGTAGCCAGGTGGAAGGAACACACAGGACCACACTGGGAAAGCAGTGAGCCATGTGCCTCACACACAGTAAAGCTATTGTGGTAAATAACTTGGTTTTATTATAAAATTCCAAAAGGAATTATCTGAGGGAACTGCATTCTAATGTCCTAAGGCAAATATAAGTAAACGTTTTTGGCCTTGGGGGCTAGCTAAATGGTCTCTGTCAAAAACACTAACTTAACTTCACTTGGCCTTAGTAGTGCAAAACACAGAAGATACATGATCCCTAGAGGGAAACACCATACACAATATAGTGCATTCCAGAAAAACTTTATTTATAAAAATAGGTAACCAACCCCTAAAAACAGCTGCCAACCCCCACCCTAAGCATCCACAGTAGCCATTAATTTCCTGTGCATCTAGAATGCATTAACTATGTATCATCTTTGGGAAATTTGGAAGGTGTCACTCAGTTTTCTTTAGGACTTAATTCTCTGGGAGACAAAAGGTATCCCATCCCTGAGAGGAGACACCCCTCATTCACCAACTCAGCATCAAGGATCCTCTCAGGAAGTATTGAATTCTTGAAAAATTAAGAAAATTTTCATTTATTCTCTTCTTTTTAACCAAAGAACCTCACCTGTAAACTTTGCCACAGCATCAATGTGTTGTTTGACCTGAACAGCCAGCTCTCGAGTGGGAGTCAGAACCAGGCCAAGCAGAGGATGTTGTGAATGTGCTTTACAGGAGGCAATTTTGCCACTCAACCCTTGTCTTAACTCTCCATTACTCTCTTCTTCAAGCTCTTCCTCGCCGCCTTCATCCTGACAGGGCGCCGGCCTCTCCTGGATTAGGGAAGAAGGTCCTTCACCAGCGTCGTCATCACAGAAGGGCAGCATCTGGTCAGAGACCGGAGCTCTGGTCTTGATTGCCTTCGTTCCAGCCTCCCTAGGCAGTGCTTCGTTTGCCATCCCAGGGGCATCAGGCAAAGCTCCAGAATCAGTTTCAATTTTGTCTGGCGGTCCAGACTTGGTTCCTGTCTCCATTTTGGTTTCTTCAGGTGATTCTTCAGTGTTACTTGGAGGTAGGGTAGGTTTCTTCTTCACCTGCCACTGCAGCACTGCATGAATCATTGGAATGGCAAAAGCCAGCGTTTTCCCGCTTCCTTAGAAGTAAACAAAAAACAAGACAAGGCAGTGTGCAAGAACTATTAGCAAAAAAGAACACAAAACAGACCTGTAAAACTTCAGACAAAACAAACTTTTCAATGAAAAACAATGAAAGCTAGTAGACAGCCTAACATCTTTATTTGAAGACCTGGGGGGAAAAAAAAAAAAAAAACAACTAGCAATCTATAACTACCCTCAGCAAAAATGTTTCAAAACAAATGCAGATTCAAGACTTTAAGAATTAAAAAAACTGACACAATTCAGCAGCAGCAAATCTGGAACACAAGAAAAGAAATATTAAAGAAAGTCTTACATGCAGAAGATCAGATAAAATTACACGCAGAAGATCAGATAAAAAATCTGGCTTTTCACGAAGGAAGTGAGAGCACCAGAAAAGATAACAAGAGCAAATGTAAAAGAATTCTTTTCATAATTAAACTTTAAAAAACTAATTGACTCCTTAAGCAATGGGATTTCTAACACATAAAAGGTATAAAACAAAAAGCACAACTAAAAGGAGAAACAGACCCTAACAAGGTTCTTGCACTGTATGTGTAGCAGTAAATTATCACTTGATGGTAACATGATATAGTAAAGCTCTTATTGTCAACCCACAAGCGACCACTAAAAGGACATTACAAAGAATTATAACTAATAGCTATAAGGAAAATGTTATCACAAAAAAAATTCACCCTAAAAAAAGGTACACGAAGAGGAAAAAGGGAACAAGGACTAACTGGGAGAGAAAACAAATAGTGAAATAACAGATTTAAACACAATGTGATTATCAGTAATCACATTAAATGTAAATGACCTTGACATCCTAATTAAAAGTCAGCTTATACAGCAAATCCTACTCACATGTTGCCTGCAAGAAACCAAGTTCAAATATAAAGACACAAATAGGTCCTAAGTAAAAGTAAGGAAAAAGACACACTGTTAATGTTAATCAAAATAAAGCTGGAATAGCTACATTAACAACAGACAAGGAGATTTTAGAACAAAGACTACTGACAGGGAACAAGGGCCACTTGATAATGAAAGGAGCTAATTCGTTTAGAGGTTACAGTAGCTCCAAACATTTATGCACTTAGTAACAAGCGTTTCAAAATACAGGGGGGGAAAACTAAACTGCAAGTGAAAACTATCACTCGAAAAAATATAAGATAAATATTTCTTATATTAAATTTGTCATTAAAAATCATCCCACAAAGAAAAGTACAGGTCCAAGTACATGTCTATCAAATGTTTAAGATTAAAAAAAAAAAAATACTAACTCTACACAAACTCTTTCAGAAAACAGAACAGAGTACTCCAAACCATTGGGAGGTCTGCATTGTTTTTATTCCAAAAACTGAAGACATTACAAGAAAACTCCAGATCAAAATCCCATGAACAGAAATTTTAAAATTCTCCACAAAATATGAGCAAATCAAATTCAGTAATGTATAAACAGAATAATGTATTGTGACCAAGTCTGATTTATCCCTGGAATGAAAGTTTACTTTAATAATGAAATAAATTAATTCCTATTATAAACAATCTAAAATGGAAAAATCACATAAATTTAGAGTAAGCATTTGAAAAATACCCAACAACTATCCTTAACAAAAATGTCCAGCAAACTAGAAACAGGAAATTTTATCAACTTTATCAAGGGCATCTACAAAAAGCCTACAGCTAAAGTCACACTGAACAATCCAAGGCTAAATGTTTTCCCTCAAATGATGCCCCAAATGGTGCCCACTGTACCACTCCAATTAAAAATTGTACTGGAGGTTTTAGCCAGTGCAATAGGACCAAAAAAGAAAGGGGGGGGGGGCATGATATAATCATCTTTGTAGAAAATCCTCTGGAATCTTTAAGAAACTACTTGTAGGCACTAAACTGCAGGATACAATAAACATACACATCAATCTTATTTCCATTCATCAGCAATAATCAGAGATACAAAACACATTACGTAAAACATCAAAACATTGCTGAGAAAAATGAAAAATGAAACGCCTAACAAAAATGAGTAAATACATTAAATTTGTGGATTGGAAATTTATAGTGGAATTTAGTGTTCTACAATCAACAGAATCCCAATGCAAATACCAGCTGTTCTGCAGAAATTGACAAACTGATTTTAAAATTTGTATGGGAATACAAAGGGCCTGTAGTAGTCAGAATAACGTAACAAGAGCAAAGCTGGAGGACTCACACTACCTCATTTTAAGACTTACTCTAAAGCGACTGTATATATATCCAAGGTTAAGTACTGGGGTAAAGACAGACCCAAGCAGATCAATGGAAAGACAAGACTCCAGATAGTACCACATGGTTATTGATTTTTCAAAAGAAATACAAAGACAATTCAGCAGAGAAAGAATTGTTTTTCAACAAAATGATTCATTTTCAACAAACGGTGCAGGGATAGCCATATGCCAAAAATGAAAGAACAAGTTTGATCCTATTTCTCACCATAAGCAAAATCTAACGCAACAGGAATCAAAGGCCCAGCGCTAACATTTTCAGTTTAAAATAAAGACATGAGGGCCTCCCCGGTGGCGCAGTGGTGGAGCGCTGGGTTGCGAAGCTGCCCGCAGCCTCTGCGGCACCGGTTGGATACCCGGCTGCTCCCCGGCCACCGGAGGAGGGTCCCGCATGGCGCGCAGACCTCTCCTGCCGCCCGCTGCTCCCCTCAGCAGTGTACTTCGTCAGTCTGCCTGCTCTGCTCCCCGCTCTGGCTCTGTTGTGTTCTCTCACCCTCCCGCGCTTTCTGACTGTACCCAGTGCTTGTATAAATAAACAAATCTTTAAAAAAATAAATAAATAAATTAAAATAAAGACATGATACTAAGAATCCAGAAGCAACCTACTCTGGGCAGACAAGGGATGCTATTACCTGTCTCGGCAGCCCCAAGGATGTCCAATTTATCACGGATGGCAGGTGCCAACGTGAGAGCTTGGACTGGTGTGGGTGCAGAGAAGCCCAGAAAGCTGAGCGCTCGGAGAACCGGCTTGGGGACAAACAGGTCCTTCCACGCTGATACGTCTGCCTTCTGGTCACACATTTCAGGCATCCATGTCTTTGCTTTTTTAGGCACCTTTGTAGGAGTGCCCTGGGAAGGTTCCATTTTTTTTTTCCCTTTCTTTTTCTTCTTTTTTGGAAGAGACTGGACAGCGGCCCCTGACACCATCTCCCCAACCATGGGACCAGGACAAGCGGCGCCATCTCCCTGGGGCTCTGGCTCAGCATCTTTGGTCTTAACCTCCTTTGGGGCTCTGCTTCCTTCAGTTTCCTCATCTTTACTCTTCTTTAACTTCATCTTTTTCTTTGAGGAGCCAGACTCTCCTTCCTCCTCTCCTTCTGAAACAGCCTGTGCCTTTCTCTTCTTGGGTTTCTCCTTAGAGAAGAGACTGGAGGAAGTCTTGGCAGAGGAGACCAACTGGTAATCTGTCAGTTCCTCAAAACACACCAGGTCATCCATCTGTCCGTTTGCAAACATATTTGGGTCAATCTTCACCTGCTTCCATTTTCCCACAACTTTGATTCCCTTTGTCTTAAATTTGCCAAAGTTTGGTGGGTTTGGCCTTGAGTTTGTCTCCTTTAGCTTCATGGTTGCTGGCTGAAGAGAGAAATGTTCCATTAGGCTGGCAAACAAGAAACACCGTGTCTGAGGCAACTAACATGTTCTAAGCTGCCTATACACTGTTAGGCCCTGCACAGATGAAGGCAGAGGGCTTTAGCGCTGACGCTCCCAGCTACAGAAGGCAGCAAGGGAAAGTGATGACCCGGAGAGGAGAGCGGGCAGTCTGGCTCAGAGCAGACAGGCTACAGGAGACCCCGGAGGTCAAATGAGCCAGATGTGGTTTGGATGCCAAACCCAACACCGACAGTCCTGTTTAATCCTCTGACCCTGTGTTCTCACCATTTTCAAAAGTGGAAGGGGCCTGGTAATATCTAAATTGAAAAATGTTTTATGTAAAGCACCGAGGATGGAGCCACCACACCGAAGTCCTTTTTTTTTACTTTGTGAGATATTTAAAAAATTTTGTTAGTATTTATATAATTTTTACATCATTTTTCATTTTTGCACAATGTATGCCTTTTCATTTTGGTTATAGTCCCCTTACAACTGCACCCTCCTTATTTTGACCCTAATCCTTCCTCTCCCCGTCCCCCACCCTGCTGTAATGTGTCTCTGGTTTATAGCGGCTTGTTGATTTTGATGTTTACTTTGTGTTAATTACTTTTTTCCTGGTCCCTTACTTAGGTTTTCTATATTCCTGCTACGAGTGAGACCATCCACACCGAAGTCATTCTGAAGGTAAGGTAAGAAGCCGAGCCTTCTCTAAGGCCCGAGGCGCCGGGGGAGAGCGAAGCCTAGGGCAGAGGCATTTCTCAGAAAAACCCCAGCGACAGCTGGGGACCGGAAAACCTAGCCACACAAGGACAGGGGGCAGGAAGCCCCCGATATTCAGCGACGGCTGCGCAAACAACTCCTGCAGCGGGACTCCCCCCTAAAAAAAAACTTCCCACTCCCGCGAACAGGCATAAAACCCCACGCGCCCTACTTTGGGGCGCCACTTCTTGGCCTCCCCTCCCTGAGTCCCCGAACATCGCCCGAGCGCTTAAAATAAACCTCCTTCCCTTTCCTCTCCCGCCCCTCGCCTCGCCCCTCACTGGCTTTCCGCGCGCCGCCAGCCTCTCAGCTTTTTCCCCCCGCGGGGGTCGGGGAGCCCCGGGCGGGCCAGCCGGCAGGAAGCGCCGCTTTCTCCCCTCGCGGGCCCCGCTGGAGAGGACCGCGTCGGTCGGTCTGCGGCTCCGCGCTCCGCCTCACCCTCGCCCCGGCTTCTACTCCCAGGGCTCGCGGACCCGGCCCCCGCGGGCGCGCGCTCACCCAGCCGCCCCTCGAGAGGCCGGGAGCCGCGGCGGGGGCTGCGCAAGGTAAGCCTGGGGGGGACGCGCCGGCCCCGGGGCCTCCCCGCGTCGCAGGGGCGCCGACGCGCCGTGACGCGGTTCCGAGCCGCCCGGCCGGCGTCGCGCGACACGCACGTCAGCGCCCGGCCGCGGCTCTCCCACCGGCCCGACTCACCCGAGAGCGGGGGTGGCCCCGCGCGGCCGCGGCGCGCCGCCGGCTGAGCGAGCGAGGGTCCGGCCTCCCGGCCCCCCGGCCCCGCCAGCGCTCGCGCCGCAGCTTCCAAGCCGCCCGCGGTGGGAGCCCGAGGCCCGAGCCTGGAGCCCGCAGGAGGGGCCTGGCGCGCGGTCGGGCGCGCGATTTGGCGGGTGGCCCCGGCCGGTGGTCGCCCTCCCTGAGCCCGAGACCCCACAGGCCCGGAGGGGCCCAGTCCCGCGCGGGTACGCACCGTGGGGCGACGCCGCCGCTCCCCTCAGCCGCCTCAGAAACCGCAGCCCGTGGCCCCAGCTGCGGCTCCCACCGCAGTTCCGGGGCGGGGCCGGCACGCGTGCGCGGGGCGGCAGGAAGTCCCGCCCCCTTCTGGACGCCGCAAACTGATTGGCTGCCGCGAGATCTCGCGGATTGCCGCGAGATCGTGGGCGTGAGGGCGGGCGGCTGTGGAGGACGCGTGTGGGTGGCGCCACAGGTTCCGCGCGGCCGCGCCCCCTGCGGGGTTGGGGCGCGGGGGTGGGGGCGCGAGCGGTCGGCTCGGCGGCCTCCGGCGGGATCCAGCGCAGGAGCAGGATTCCCTGATTTGGTGTTAGGGCAAGTGAAAGGGGGCAGAGAAAGACGGGGCGACAGGATACGTGTAAAGGGGCGCCACTGCGTCCCCGCGCGAGCTCGCGGGCCCGGGGCGGGGGGCGGGCCGGGGTGTCCAGGTGGGGGGACGCCCGCTTTGGGGGGGCTGGTTTGACGAGGAGCAGAGTCGTTCTCTGGCGGGATCCGCAGGCCGCGCTCCCGCCCCGGGGGGCTCCCCTCGTGCTGCCGGGACGGCCGGGGGCCCCAGCAGGCGCCGCAGGGAGCGGCCCGGGGCCGGGGAGCCCGACGCCAGGTGCCTTCGCCTGGAGACTCTGGCTCCCGCCTCACCCTGCAGCAGCGGCGACCCGGCCCGGAACTGCGCGCCTCTGCGCAGCCAACTCAGCCCCAGGGGGTCTGTGCCGGGATCCCCCCCAGCCCTTCCGTGACTCGCCCCTACACACTGATGGTTAGAGCAGGTCGGCCGACCCCGAAGCCCGGGGTTTACTCACCAGCTGAATTGCCTCCTGTGTTCAGTGCAGAGAAAGCTGCCTCGCAGTAGTTAAAGCACCTTCTCAGCGTGGGTGGCACAGACTGTTGTGGGGAGCATGTCCTGAGCACGCGCCTCACAGGCTTTGTGGACGCCACCCCCAGGCCCTCAAGACACTGGGAGCTACAAATCCCGGATCATCACTTCACAATATATTCGTGTATTAAATCATAGTAAACTTACACATTACGCAGTAAGTTCTCACCATTGTCTTTAGATTCTTGGAAGAAACGGTCTTTAAGGGAGGTGACATATAATGAAACACATTTGACCATGAACTATTTGATAGCAACAAGAGTTCCGACAGCATGTTTCCGGTCACAAAAGCATCACCAAACTTATAAATAAAGATCCAAAACACTTGTAATATTCGGTGATCATTTGTATTCATTCATTCATTTTTCCAACCCATTTATTCCATTTCTGGGTCAGCAGGTGGCCAGAGTCTGTGCCTGCAACTCAGGGCCCAAGACAGGACACCACCCTGGACTAGATGCTCTTCCCTTGCAAGTTGCACTCACACCCCCCCCCACACTCATTCTGACTGGGACCGCTGAGACATGCCAATGAATCTCCTGTGCAGACCTGTGGAATCTGGGAGGAAACTGAAATCCCTGGGGAAAACCCAGGCAGCAGCCATGAGGAGAACGGGCATATTGCACAGACAGTGTTCCTGGCCAGGTGTCAATTTGCTTTCATCATCAATGTTACAGTAAAAGGAAGTGAACAAAATGATGTTATTTGAGGACCTTCTTTATTTTAATTATGTCTCAGTATATAATTGCGATATAGGGTGCATCTATACTGTGGAATACTACTCAACAATAGAAGGGAACAAACTGTTGATATACACAACTTGGATGGATCTAATGAGCACTGTTTGAGTTGAAAAAAGCCTACTTCCAAGGCCAAGTAACATTCTAAAAATGACAAAAGAAAGAGAAGAGATTAGTGGTTTCCAGGCTCAGGAGGCAGGAGTGGGGAGTTGGGTTCGAGGGTGGGAGTGACTATAGAGGAGTAGCATCAGGAGATCCTGGTGGTGATGGAAGAATTCTGTATCTTGATTATAATAGTGGTTATTGTGGAATAAGATAATAGAGACACACACTTTGCTTACTGTCAATTTCCTGTTTTTTTTTTTTTAATTCTATCATTACGTAAGAGGTAGTCTGTGGGTGAAAGGCACACAGAACCTCTGTGTATATAACCTCTTTGCAACTTCCTATAAAGCTATAATTACTTCAAAATGTTGAAGGGAAAAATGACATCACCCCTGTTGTGTTCTTATCAAAAAATATTTAACCTGAATCTGCTGGCAAGAAACCATCAGGTACCTTCAGACTCTGGAATATTCTACAAGATGAATAACCTGGACTCCTCAACAACGTCAAAGACCTGACATGAAACCTAGTTCTGAAAATCCCTCCCCTGCCTGTCCAAGAAAAATGGTTTCATAGCATCCCAGTGAGAGTTGGAGCCATTTTTTACTGAACGGTTTGGGGTGTGATTCCAAAGCTAAACTGGGCATGAGGTTGGGCAAAGCCTCATTTACCAACGTGTTCAAGGACACCTCAAGCCCAGGTCTCACCAGCTCCTGAAGCAACCACTTCTTTCCTTCCTGGTCCCACTGCCTCCCCTAACTTCACCTTCAGATCCTCACTTTCCCTTTATTCTTTATTCTTTTGCTGAAAAACATTCCCTGAGTATTGAACAGGAGGGAAAAAATGGACAAATCTCTCTTTTATGAGACATTTCTTTGGGGAAAAAGGGCAGAAAGGAATGAATGAAACAATTGGTGTATATTTTCTGAGCGTCTACGTGTGACCAAACTAAGGCATATCAGTGAACCTGCTCACTGTCACAACTCGTGCAGGTTCCCACCAAGACCGCTGGCCAGAGATCACGGTGCCGCCCACCCGCCCAGGCTTCCCACCAGGTCACTACAGGTGTGGGTTAGGGCTCTAGGTCATTTGTCAGGGATGTAAACTCTTATGCAGTATTAATTTGTCGGTGAGGCGGGGCCAGGAGAGAGGATCTCTGATGAAACAAAGTTCATAAGAAATATAATGTTATATAAAAGGAGGATTGTGCTTTCTCCTTTATCCGCAAAGGGGCTTTTGAGAGCGAGTTAATGCTCTTGTATTGGGATGTGATGGGATTAGAACCTCCTGAAACACCAGCTCACCTCCTCTCTCCCCTCCGCCCTCCCACAGCAAAGGTGAAACCTCACTGGCAGCACACCTGCATCCAGAGTGACTCACCTGCTCTGTGTGACGTTGGGGGTTAAACGTCACCCAGACTGACTATTTAGCCATCTGGACTTTGGCATAGCCTCATCACACATAGGATGTTAACCGCTCTGTGTTCTCCCCAGGTATGTAGGGGCCTGGGAGATGGGGACTTGGGGGGAGCAAAGGGTGCTCTGCTCGCAGCAGCCCCTGTGCCTATATCCAGGGCCGTTGTCACTGTGATGCGAGGTGAGTGTCCTGGGAAGGCCTGAGCCTGCCTTTACCTAAGACTTTGGGAACAGCCGGTCTTTTCCCAACCCCCATGACTCTGAAGACCTCAGACTGAGGCTTTGGGGAGGGACAGTCTGGAGGGGACAGAGAGGAACATTTGAGAAGAACAGAATCCCGGGATCAGGTTGCCAAGGAGAGTCACCAGCTTCCTAAGCCGTGGTCTGTGCAGATGTGGGGGCATGATGGCCTGCAGAGAACAGAAAGCAGGACTCTGGGGAGAGGTGTCCGTCCCTGCCCTTGTCCCTCACAGCCCCACAGAGCACTGCTGGTTATCATGCGTTGTTTCTGGGGAGACAGAGGTGGTTCTGGGCTCTATAGCCACGTTCCTACTCTGCCACCAAGATGTCATACTAGCCATAAAAAATGGGGCAGGCATTGCCACTGATGCCCACCTGGAGGAGTTTCAGTGCCTTCAGTCCCCAGGGAAGCCTCAGAGGGTAAGGTGGCCCAGGATTTGGGGTGCTTGTCTCAGGACAGAGGGGTTCCGGCCTGGAGTTGACACCAGGGTGCAGTGTCCAGCAGGTCTCTTCCCTCCTGGACTTTAGCCTCTCCCCCTCTGGGAGGGTAGGGCCCTGCCAGCTCTCAGCGGGTGAGCGGGTCTCGCTATGCCTTCTCCTTGGGCTCATCCCCACGCTCTCCTGCCATCTCTCAGCCCAGATACCCCTGAGGTCCTCTGCCCACATCAGAGTCCTTGCAGCTTTAGGAAATGAAGGACACTGTGGGGTCCCTGGGGCTCATGTCCTCCTCAGGGCCCTGGGCTCTCTGGGCACACAGCTGACCATCCTTGTGCTCCCCCTCTGCTTCTTTTCCAGTTACCCTCCGCAGGCAAGCCCCCTGATGATCCTACTTCCGGGGAGCCACCACAGACCCACCCAAAGAAAAATAGACTAGGTAACTGGCTCCTGGGTGCTAAGCCACAAGCCTCACCCACCCCTACTGCCTTCTCAACCCTCTGAGTTGTTGGTATTGAGGACTCATCCTTGATGGAATCTCTAGGCACCCACCTGCAGAAAAGGGGTATGGTGCACCCAGAAGATGAATGAACGGTGCTCTAGGACAGGGCAGGTCCCAGCTCTGCCCCGGATGGGCTGCCCTTTCTGAGTCTTGGTTGCTTTGTTTCTAAGGGCAGCAGCGGGCGGCCCAGGACCAGGGCACATCTGAGTATGTTCTCAGGCCCTTCACCCCTCCTGGCCTCTTCCCTAAGCCCTGCAGGCTCAGCTCCCGGTCAGGTAGTAGCACAGGCTGGGCTGCCTGGTTGCCAGTGAAAGTCCAGTGCCCACACCCTGAGCTGCAGCACTCAGGCCTAGGTAAGTTTCGATTCTTGGCTTGTGCCCCTCCCCTGGCATCCAGAAGCCTCCTGGCCAGGGTCCTCCTCGCAGGACTCAGGTTGCACAGTGTTTGCTCTGAGGCGGGGCTACCTGGGGTCAGGCAGCAGGGTGAGCTCATTTCTTTTCAATGTAGACCACATTTTGCTTAAAATCCATGCATTGATGGCCTCGGGGGCTGCTTCCTCCTCCTGGCTCTTGTGCCTCATGCTACTACGGACATGGGCCTGAAAAATCTCTTCAGGGCCCTGCTTTCAATCCCTTTGGGTCTCTACCTTGGAGTGGGCTGCTGGGTCCGTGGCCTTCCCTTCTGATTTTCCTAAGGAGCCGCCATCGTGTTTCCCAGAGTGGCCCCTGGGAAGCTCCTCGGTTTATATTCCCAGCAAGAGTGCACAGGATCCTAACTGCCCATGTCCTCGCCGACGCTGCTTCTGTTGGTTTCTTTTATACGGTGTCTTAATGGTTGTGCCTGGATGTATCCATGCATTTTTCTTTTTTTTATTGAGACAACATTGGTTTCCGGCACTTTATATTCGAGATGGCATTTTCTCACCACACCTCCCCGATAAGCGGTCACCCCCCACCCAACAATGACTCCCTGTACCCACTCCTCACCCTCCTGCCCCGGGGTCACCGCCATTCTGGTGTCAGAGCCTAAGGGTTTGTTTTGTTTTTGTTTTTTGTTTTGTTTTCTTTATATTCTACAAATGAGTGAAATCACATACTTTTATCAAATCTTGCATGTCGAGTACAGCAGATTACACCATTGATACCTTTATAGCGGCTTTTTATTTTGATTTTTCAATAAGTACCAGTAAGTCAACTTTTTTATTGAGAGCTCCCCCAAAATGTCCAATCTTGAAATGTTTCCGGTTCAAACAACAACTCAACCAATAAGCCTCTTTACAGTTTAGCCGTGATGTAAGAGGTGCCCCAAGAGATCACAGGCACAGCCATCACGAAGTGGGGGGTCTAGGAGAGAAAAGACCAAGGCTAGCAATAACTAGTCACTGACCCGGGAAGCTGCTCCCGGGAAGGTTTTCTGCTGCTGACCCAAATTTAGCGGAAGAAAAAGAAGACTTCTCACCACTTGGCTTCCTTGTGACTCTGTGGAGAGAAAGCAGGGCGGCTGGCTCCTGTCCTCTTGGCCATCCTGGGAACAGGCAGCGTCCACCTTTGATGGACCCTCCTGGCTGCTTCCCCAAAACAGCTGGGAGAAAACCAATCTTCTCGTGCCCTGGTAGGCCCTTCTCAATGGAAAATAATTAATTCGACATAAGACCCAAGAAGAAAAAGAGGCCCTTATGGACAAGGGACTCAACACCTAGTTGATATAGTTCTAGATGCGGAGCCGTTCCTCTGGGAAGAACAGATGTGACCAAGAAATTGTTGAATTATTTACTTTGGCAACTTATTTAATGAGAGAAACAAGCCCCAGAGGTCTTGTGGCTACATGACGTTTCCTTCCCTCCTGGGAGAGGAGGTGGGAGCTTGTCACAGAGATTTATTTCCTGATTTCAGAGGAAACAGGAGGCTCAGAGGAAATCTTTGCCTTTTGGAGAAAGGAAGGTTTGGAGCATCCTTCATTCATCAGTTGTTTCCTTCCTTCAAAAAAATCAATATGCCACTTGGGCACACTTTGGGGCAGCCTGGTCCATGGGCAATTGACTTGTATTTCCAGCCCCCCGAACTGTGGGGAACAGACTCCCAGCCGTGGTGGTGGTGACAGCAGCCCCGGGAACTAACACGGAGACGGAGGACACAGCGGATGGGGCGCGTCAGGCTGAGTTAGAGGCAGAATCTGCAACGGGAGGCAGCGGGGGCTCTAGAGGCCTGGATGTCATCATAAGGGGAGCAGGTCTTGTTAACAACAAGGTCTAGGGCAGCTCTGTCCAAAGAACTTTCTGGATGATGAGCCTGTTCTCTGTGCTGTCCAGTGTGGGAGCCACATGTGACTATTGAACACGAAGCAGGGTCCAGACCGACCAAGGACGGAGCTCTAGTTTTTTTGTTTTTTTTTTTTTAACATTTTAATTAGTTAACATTTAAATAGTCACGCATGGTTAGTGGTTGCCCTACTGGACAGCAGGTGCCTCAGGTGTGGCCACGAAGGGAATAGAGTCCAAGAGTGTTGGAAAGAGGTGGCAAGACCAGCTGGTTGACAGTATCCTCTCTGCAGAAATGGAATCATCAGGACGGGTCAGGAGGGGTGACGGAGGGAGGAGACGATGCCATGGGCATGGGATGCTGGGGAGTGAGCAGGGGCCTGCGCTGACCTTGCACCTTCTCCTCCCCTGACAGGGCTGAGGCCCCTCTTCTTGGAGAGGGGGCGGGGAGGCTGAGAAGGACCGGCCGGGCCTTTCACTGGGATCTGTGTCCTGGGATGGGGCCACCGGTTCTGGAAGGGGGAGAGAACAGAAAAGTTTAATTTTCTGCCTTGCAAATAGAACAGCATGCTTGTCTTGCTTCTTGTTTTTGGTGTTTGAAGAGAATGAAACCACATGTATTTGGATGAGCGTGTGGAGCCCATCGGGGCTGGCGCCCTTGTGGGAGTCACACAGCTCTGGATCATTCACCACCCACTCTGCATTCTTAACATATTAGGCTGCATTGGAGGAGGTCAGGCTGGCACCTTCGCTCCTCTGATTCCATCCACGGTGGCGGGAGCAGGGGCCCAAGGGGAGCCACTCGAGTGCTCATGTATGTTTTTTGTCTCCAGGCGTGGCCATAGCAGCTGTGGCCGGAGGAGGTAAGTCTCTTGAGAAGGAACTCAGGTTCCATCTGCCCTTGACCCTGGGTCTCTGGGTAAAATGGTCTTGACCAAGAGTCTCCAGCCCCAAGACACAGCTGGGTCAGCTGGGCAGGGTACAAAGGAGCAAGACCTGGGGTGAGCAGAGCCTTGGCACACAGGATCCAAAGCACAGCCGGGGGCAGTCAGGTGCAGGTGCAAAGCCTGCCCTCCTGGACGGGACATTGAGCTCTCTCAGGCCAGGAGCCAACCCTGGGAGGGAGGCCAGGATTTCCTCTGGAGGTTGGAGAAAATGAGCTGCCCGTTCTCAGAACTGCTTTGCAAACCCTGGAAACTCATCCACTGAGCTCGGAGGTTCCCAGCTGGAGTGTAGACGAGGGTCCCCAATTCAGCGCCCAGAATTCCAGGGAAGAACTCACTGCTGTCACCTGGCCACATGCCAAGTGCTCACAGCCCACGTGGCCGCCACGCTGGACCGTGCAAGGACGGAACCTTCCATGGCGCCATGGAGCGAGACTGCCCTGCTCCAGAGAGGGAGGGCGCCCTGGGGACCCCACCTGCTGCAGCAGGGCCTTGGGGGAAGAGGGTGGCTCCACCCACCACCTGCATGGGGAGGTGCTCTGGGGTTCTCTGCTGTCCCCCTGGTGTTTGGGGCAGGACGCTTCTGCCATGTAAAGGGTGCTTGGGGGGCCTCTGCTTCCTCAACTGCATTTATTTGTCACTGGAGGGCCTGAGGCCCAGGGAGGAGAGGGGAGCTCTCTGGTGTCCCAGGAAAATAGGGGCAGGGAAGAAGGATTGGGGTCTAGCTTCTCGTGGTGCCCACCTAGTGGAGGTTCCCAGGTCCACAGGCATCCTGTGCCCGGGCTCTGCCCTCCCCTTGATCTCACAGAGCCCGCAGAACCCCACCCTGTTCCCTCAGAAGGGGTATTGGTGAGTGTCTCCCATGGAGCTAATCCAAAGTTCCTCTCTTGGACAGCTGTGGCAGTGGTGGGTGCACCCATGGTGCTGGGCGCCGCGGGCTTCACGGGGGCAGGAATTGCCGCCGGCTCTGTGGCGGCCAAGATGATGTCAGCCGCGGCCATCATGAACGGGGGCGGCGTGGCGGCCGGCAGCCTGGTGGCCACTCTGCAGTCCGCAGGTCAGTGTCCTGGCAGGAGAGGAGAGGGGAGAGGCCAGGATGGGTGGATTCAACCCAGAAGCTCCGCCTGAGGGATGACCTGTCCTCCCTCCAGTTCTGGGACCTCAGCATCCCTGGTCCTCTGTCTCTCCCTCACTGTCCCCTCTTCAGGTTAGGGTGGCAGCGGTGGGGCTGGGGTACATCTTAAGTCTGCATTCTTGGTCAACCTGAAAACTCGTGGGCAGGTCCTGCCCGCTCCGAACCCAGCCTCTCCAGGGCAGGTGAGGCACCTGCCATACCCCAGAGGCGTGTCTGTCCCAGGGGGATTCCCCGCCAGGTGGATGCCTCCTCTCAGGACAGCTGCCTATCCCCTCAGTAGATCCTGGGGTGCAGGGAACAGAGGAGAGAAAGGGGGTGGGCACATGTCTAGGCCTTGGGGGCCTGAAGGGCATAGTGATAGGGGCACCTGTGATAGGAGGTGCCAGGATTTCCTTTCTCCTTGGTCTCACCCTGTCCTCTCTCTCAGGGGCAGCTGGACTGTCCATGTCATCCAATGTCATCCTGGGCTCTGTTGGGTCAGCTCTTGGGGGCTGGCTGTGGAGGGAAAAAAAGCCATCCCATGAGCCAACGACTGAAGAGGATGATGGAGATGACCGTGATGGAGCTGGATCCCCTCAGGATCCCGGGGCGGTGGTCCCTAGATGACAGCTGCAGGGCTTGTCAACATTGTTCAGTTAAAGAACTGGTTCATTCTGTAAGTTAAACTACATGAGAATAAAAGGAGACACTGACCCGCCGCTAGTGTCTGTGCTGTGTCTGTGGGTGCCTAAGGTGGGGGCGCCTTGCAGTGGTGCTGGGACAGGAACTCCAGAGGAAGGAGCACTGGGCAGAAGCCTGGACTGTTCCCAGACCTGCCACTCACCCGCTGACCCGTGTCCTCTTTCGGCTTCAGTGTGCCCTCTTCCCACGGGCACTTGGACCAAGTGTCTTCAGAGTTCACAAGAGAGCTGGACGTGTGGCTGACAGGCCAGCTCACCCGGAGCCCTCTGCTGCAGCTTTCTGGGCTCTAGACAATAAGCGAGTTCACCCAACCTGCTCTAGCTGCTCTATTTGTAAATGGGTTATATCCTAACATTAGTGGATTTATAAGAAGGTGGTAAATTGGATGGAAATCCACCAGCTTGACCGGTGTGGTACCGTAGCTGAACCCTATGAAAGTACGTTGGAACAGGATCGTAAAGTCGCCGGGCGGTGATGCTCACAGCCATGCCAGCTCTGAGGCTAGGCACCTAAAATCACAGCCAGGCCTCCCATGTGGCCTCCTCCCTGGGCTCCATCATGGAGAGGTGGCACAGGGACACGAATGGCGATGTCCTCAAGCGCAGCACCGAAAGGCAGGCTGGCCTCAAAGGTCCTGTGCAAACTCCTCGCCACCCGCTCAGATGCCCCATCAGGGCCCCAGAGGAGGGCCCCATAGAGCTCCCTCCCCAAGCCCATGGGGCTCCAAGAGGCTCTGATGAACAGTTACCAGTAATCACCTTGAACAGGCAGGAGAACATGGAAATGGAAATGGATGGAAAACCTTGCCAAATTAGGGTAGATGGCACCACACCCACTATAAATTCCAACCTCATAGGACACATGGTGTGTAGAAGAAAGAAGTCTCCATGGGGACATCTAATATATTCCACAGGGAGGTTCTAGCTCAGCCAGCACACTTGACCATGGGAGCTGTACTAAGCACCTGCCTTCTGCCTGTTTCCTGTGTCTGCAGCCCCTGCCAACCCCTTCAGTAGAGCGCTCTCTCCAAGTTCACAGGGTTACTACAGTTTTTGCCTTCAGGGGAAATTTCCTGACCGCTTATGTTTCTTACACTCAACCTGTCCTTGATGGAAGAGGAAGAACTCCAGCAGAGATCCCTAATTTGACCAAAGCCCCTGAAAATCTGTGGGCTATTTCTAATAAGACACAGAATAAAATGCGCAGAACCTATAAAGGTTCAGATAGCTATAACCAAAACTCTTCCTAAATTTCCTTAACCACTAAAGTTGGAGCCCCTTACCAGGCCTCCCACCAACAGCCGAAAATCTAGTCGCCTGGGGCTAACAATTCCCTGGCCCAGTTCTGGACCCCTGGCCTAGAAACCTCATGAGCAGGATGGTGCTGTGTCCAGGACTTGAAAGTTACTAGCAGTTTCCCTGTGGTTCTAAATCTGAGCACCCTTTTCAGAAGTTCGACCAGACACAAAATGGTTTCTGTTGCTGATCTTTCTTGAGTGGATCTCGATCAGCAGCCCCGCAGATCCCCACAGCCAGTATCTGCCTGTACATGGAATTTCGGCCAAGGAGCAGAAGATGGCGGGGCGCCAACAACCCCTGATGGTCCCACGTGACAGTGGCATCTATTCTGAGCCTCAGAACAGCAGCCTGGAAGACGCAGGTGCAAGAAGCAGGTGAGCTGTGTGTTCAAGTTGCCAGGGTTTCATCCAAATCTCTTTGACAGACACAAAAGGTGGGACGGGCCGCACTCAGGTCCCCTTTATGCAAATGGTGGAAATTTCCTCAGGCAGTGATTGGTGGAATTTCAGTCCCAGGAGGTCTGGCTAGAAGCATTTCATGTTGTCCACTATATGCTTTTTTATCCACAAGTTGTTGCTTTATCTCGTGTTATTCTACAAAAGTCCTATTCTTGCTCTATAGGTCTTTTTCTCTCATTTGAATTACTGCCAGTATTCCATGGTAATGATACACCACATTTTATTTACTATTTTACTAACAATTGTTCAGCTGGATGGCAAAGGAGTGTTTCCTATTTTGTGAAAATTTCAACTTAAACTCCAAAACTGAGAACAGTGGGGACAAGGAACCCTACTTCCCAAGAGAGCTGGTGGACATGGGCCTTTGGGATTTGTGGCTGTGACTCTCAGCCCCTAAACCCGGTGTCAGGAAGGGCTTGGGACTCGTGGGACAAAGCCCATGAAGGAATTCACACCTCACTGTTGGTTGATGTCCACTCTTGCTCTGATGCTGTGACACAAGTTAATAAGAAACCCCTGTCCTAAGGGGTCCTGTCATGGGGTGCTATTGAGGGGGTCTGAAGGGTGGTTTGGGTCTAAGCCTCAGGAAGGGGGTTCCATCTGCTGCTGGTCTGGGGACTCCATCTTGGGCTGCTGGTCCACAGAGAGCGGGTGGTGGAGAAGCCGGGACTGCGGGTGCTTGGCCCGGTGAGGAGACTGCATTCTGAGGGTTGCATGAGGGCTTTGAAAGGCAGCTCTTTAAAGGACTCAGGCAAGAGGAGTGTCCTTGGAGAGCCCAGAAGAAAGGGGCAATAGATGCAGCAGGGTCAAATGCAGGGAAAAAACAGGGGACAGAGAACTCAGGTGAAAAAAAGAATGGTGCAGTGGGAGGGTCCCGGGCAGAGATGGCGCAGAAGCCCGTGCACGACTCATCAGCTCCTAAGAATATGGATGAAAGGACCTTTTTGTGGTATTATTGCCAGGACTTAAATAATACAGACAAAGTCCTTTGCAGTTTGACTAGAAGAATCCGTCACCAGGAAGACACCGCTCATGCTGCCGTGATGTCTCTGGCGCCCCCTCGCGGGGAAGGTTCAAGCTGCTTCCTCGGTGGGCTCGCCCGTGGGCCGCTGCTTCCCCTCTCCTGCAGGGCCAGGGCAAGGGGACGGTTCCTGGCTGAACAGAACAGCTCCACTGTGTCCTGGCCACTGCTGTCCAACAACCCCACCCCGCCCCGGGGTGTCCCAGAACCCCAGGCTTGGCCACGTTCTCAAGTCTTCGGCTCACTGGTCTGGTGCCACATCTGGGCCACAGAAAACACAATGTCAGACTCTTTGGGGGCAACTCACCCCCAGAAGGACCCCTTGCCCTTCCCCCCAGGGAGGCTTGCCCATCAAGTGCCTCCTGTCTTGAGAATTTGTAGGTCCAACTCAGACAGCTGTCCTTGCTCCCTCAAATTTTAAGAGATTGAAGGTGGTCAAGCTTTGGAGAGGGTCCCACTGGGTCCGGGAGAGCAGGGCGCCTCCATTCACCCCTGGGCCAGGAGGCAGTGTCCACCAGTGCTCTCTGTCCCTTCTCTGTCCTCCCTCTGCAATCAACGCGCTGTTAATGTCGCTACTTCTTTTAAAACTACTCCACAGTTTCTTAGCATAGGGCTCTGGCAAAGGGTAGGTAATAAAGGTTCTTGGCTCCTCACCATGCTGTTCCCTGTCTTTGGACAGCAGGTGAAGTCCAGTGAGCATTCCGTGAATGTCTTCGAAGTCCAGCATGTGCCATTCACACATGCTAAAAGCATGAAACCGGGCCTCCCCTGGTGGCACAGCGGTTGAGCGCTGGATTGCAAGGCTGCCCGCAGCCTCTGCAGTGCCTGTTCGATCCCTGGCCACCGGTGAGGGTCCCACAAAAAAATTAAATAAATAAATAAATAAATAAATAAATAAATAAATAAATAAATAAATAAATAAAAGCATGAAACCATGTATGGGGAGAATCAATTAAATTCTGGAGAGTGCTCACCCGTGGGGAGAGAGGCAGACAGAGGAGGTGAGGAAGGATTCTGAAGCTGTGCTCATTGCATGTGTAATGCTGGAGCTCTCGAGCTGAGTGGTGAACAAATACAGTGCTTGTTTTATTATTTCTAGCTTTTTGGGCACTTGAAAATACATCACAGGGTGTAGACAGAGGCTGTGAGCGAGGGAGAGGAGGGCAGGTGTGTACAGTAGGTCTTTACTTAATGTTCGTTCTTGTAAACTGCGGCTTTAAGTGAAATGACATAAAATGAACGCAATTTTAACACAGGCCAAGTGATAGAAATGAGAATTTCACAGGGCATAGTTATGGTCACAAAAAATCACCAAACTTCTTAATAAGGACCCCAAACTTCTAATATTAAACAATTATTTGAATTCATTCATTCATTGATTTTCCAACCCACTTATCCCCAGTTTGGGGTCACGGGTGGTCGGTGTCTCTCCCAGCAGCCCAGGCACAAGGCAGGGACCACCTCTGGACAGGATGCCCTTCCACTGAATGGAATCTCTCTCTCTCTCTCTCTCTCTCTCTCTCTCTCTCTCTCTCTCTCTCTGCAACTGGCACCATTAGACCCTCCTGTGAAACCCTCGTGTGCACCTTTGGGAGGTGGCCAGAAAAGAGTCTTCAGAGAAAACCCCACAGGCACGTGAGGATGTGCCAAGTCCACCAGAACGTGACCCTGACCGGGTGCTGATGTTCTCAGCAATGTTATCATGAAATAGTGTTGAATGAAGCTGGCTAAACAAAACGGCATTATTCCAAGACCTGCTGTGCGAGCACATGCCATATGGGGAATAATTTTAACTGTGGTGCTCAGTGACAAGGGAATGATAGGTACTGATTTAAAAAAATGAAAACAACATCAGGTGACAAAGACAGCTGCTGAACAACGTGTGAGGTGAAGCCATGCCAGTAAATAAGCTTACAGTGCACTACATGGAACGTTCTCTAAGGAGATATCTATCAGCCTGCCTATTTACCTCTCTATCTGACTCTGTCTCTCTGTTATCCATCCATCCATCCATCCATCCATCCACCCATCCATCCATCTTTCATGTGCCACTAGAAATCACTTTTTTTAAAAAAAGCAGTGAAAAGTGTCTATTAAGTTGCAGGAGCTCTTACTTTTGGGAAGTGGTTTTGAGGGGCTGATAGTGGGGGAGGACACTTATCAGATCCAAAAGGACTTTGGCCTTATTTGTACTGTTGAAAAACATAACTCATCAGGGTGAGTTTAAAGATT